TTGCGACTTTACATAAGCTACAGCTTTGTTGAGAACGACAACTGGAAGACACAAATTATTAAATGTTTATAGGTTTGGACAAGTTGCTCGCAGAGGCCGATAGATGGAGACAAATGGACAAAACTCTGTAGGTGAGTTGAACAGCGACAAAAAAAAAAAGTAACGTCAGTGTGAATTAAAGTAAACATACCTCGTAACCAGCTAGTTTCATCAGCTAAACTGCCAAGAAGCCGTCTGTGGTTAGCGTGTTTTCATAAATACATAAATGAAAAAATCTAGTGAAAAAATAGCAGAGCACCAATTTACAGAGATTTTAGATGAATAATATTTAACATAATAAATGTAGCAGAACTAAAGCACACAACATGCAGTATGATTATAAATCTCACATTGCAGGCTGTGCTGTAGATAAAATATTAACACTTTTTTATGTGATATCAAAGAAGTTATATTTGATTGTACTGGTGCTTTCATGTTGATGTGAACTTAATGTGAGTGGATGTAGTATGTTTTCAATACCTGATGTATTTTTGACACACCTTCAAAAGTCTTGTTGTTTTGGAGTATGTGTTGGTATGACAGTGTCAGTACTGTTGGTAGAGGTGGCTTTGATATGTCTTTTATATGTCAAACATATTTCCTTTTAGGATAAAAAATTATCTACGTCTCATTTTTTAAAAAAAAATCCAACAAGCAAGCCCACTTTTAGGATTCATGCTTGCCAAAAGATGAGATAACCTCATCCTCATAGATCTTTCATTATGCAGTGAAGTGTGGCATCTGGAATTAAATTTAGCTGTCTGCAGCCAGGATACATTTGAACTGCAGTTGGCAGGTTGGTCAAAGGAACATCCGACAGGTCATGTATTAATAATGTCCACCTCTGTAGCAGATATAAAACAACAAGGATCCTGACTGATGGATACATACAGTAGCTTTTTTCTGCCTGTGGTGAATAATGTCAGGACAGACTAAGAGTGAGGGATGTTTGGTTCATTCTCTGGGTCATTTATGGTCCATTCGTCCTCTGTGTGTCTGTGAGAGTCATCTTCTTTCCTCTGTGTAGCAAGAAGGAGGTTAGAATAGCTGTATGACTCAGCTGAGCCAGTACTGAACCATCTTAATATCACTTTCTAATGTTTCTAATGTCTTTACCTGAAGTGACTTAGCACAGGGCTACTGTGTGCCATGTATTCCCACTATAAATGTCATTATGACTATACAGCTCCAAACATAAAACTACACTGATTTTATATTAAATAACTACAATCAAAAAAGCTAATAGAGAGATAAATACAAATTGTTTGATACCTCCAATTTGGCTTTCTAAAAGATTACCTGGTGCTCCCTGAATTAGATGTAGCTATAAACACAACACAAGATCGAAAGGATAACCTTTATTATGCTGACTAAGAAATATTTATTGACTGCTAAAGCTTCCCTGACTACTTGTGACTAATATTAAACTCTGCATGAGTTTATTTATTTTAAATGTAACTGTAATCAGAAAGATCTAATGGGTTAAGAATAAAAGAACAACTATATTTATATATTTTCAACCAGTTTTATTAATTGGGGTTATATTTGTTTAATAATGGGATAATAGACATTTTTGTTGATCAAATGTTCAGAAATAACAGAAAAATGCTCAAATAAGGCAACACAGACTCATTGCGTTTACTGTGTGCAGACTGGTCATGCTTACTGTCAGGTTTAGTTGCCTAGAAAACTCAGAAGAGAAAATGTTCCTTCAAAGGCATTTGGCATGCAGATTATGATCAACATTAATCCTTATTTTTTATATATTGCATAAGGTATACAGGAAGCCTATGATATAATACATCTAAGAGTACATCCCAGAACTTCTCTTCCCCTCCTCTATCTCCAGTCCTCTTAGATCCTCAGAATGGCTTCTATTACCATTACCATCGAGTCTGATGGGTAAAGATAATTGACCCTTTGCAGTAGCTGCTCCAGAGGTTTGGAATAGCCTTCCTCCAGCAACATAAAGTTCCTCCTCTATTGACGTTCTTAGAAAAGTCTGAACATATACATGTTTTCAGTGGCTTTTGGTTGCACTGAGGGGTCCCAGTTTTAGTATTTTCTATGTACTTTATCTTAGATTTTTTGGGATATTTTTGTTATCCAGTTTTGCCTTTTTATAATATTTAAACTATATATTTTCATTTACAGATTGATGGATTTTTGTGCCTATTTTTGATGCTGCACGACAGTTATCATGTTCAAGGGTACTGCAAAAAGTTCTCATCCTCACTAGCAATAGTCATATCTTCAGCCTCCAGATTCTCCTCAACAGCACGTTTTGATCACTCTGAAAATGGCCACACAGGTGAGATTTCAGTTTAGAAACCAGAAGTCAGACAGGGCAGGTCGAGTGAGGAAGATGCATGGAGCCAACGGTTAAAAGACACTTTTGGCTGCTGCTTCTACCTGAACTGAATGGATGAAAGCATTGTCCTGAGGCAACAGCACACTAGCTTGAAGCGTTCCTCTCCTTTTTTCTGTGATTGCTTCAAACATTTGAGTTTTCATGAACAGTGATTTATGGCTTCATGGTATAGTTATGCCTCAAAATGGGGGTTATGCCCCTTGTTCTCAGGTGAGGCCGAGAATAGGGTGACCATATTTTGATTACTGAAAACCAGGACACTCGGCCCGGCGATGACACGCTCAAATGGTATTCGAAGTTTACTCAAAGACGCCTTATAATTTCAGTACATTTAAAGTATGCCTCCTCCAGGACATTTTCATCACTTTATAAAAAACAACCAGGACGGACAGGACGTGAAAACAGGACATGTCCTGGGAAAACAGGATGTTTGGTCACCCAAGATGAGAACTTTATGAAGTACCACCACACAGCACTTTGGTCAACTCAGGTTGTCTTTAACAAGCTATATACATAAACAATAAAACAATAAAAATACAATATAGTCTCTTTATTCTGTCGTGCATGCTTTTCTTGCATTTTCGTTCAACTTTTATTGACCCAATCGTACACAATCACACAAAAGAAAAAGAAACACAGGTTGTGCATGTATACAAATAGAACAGAGGATCATTAATAACCTAAAACACAAACCTGCATGAGATTGAAGCATGCTGCAGAAACAGAAGCCTGCAGTGTTTACATTTGCTCTCTCCAGGGACTGATGCCTCTGGTGTCTATTACCAATTAACTCCATTAATGCCCCCCTCCTCTCTCTGGGGCAACAGGACAGGACAGGGGGAAGCAATTCGGTGTATTAATGCGATGTGAGCAGCACCGTATGTGCGTCCTTTGTTCCTTTCTGTTTCACCTGTCCTGCCCCTTTAAGATTAGACATTTCAATCTAGGCGTGTTTCCTGCTGCCATTGACTAAAAAAAACGAGAGCTGGCATCCTGCGGGGGGAAAAAAGCACACCCAACAGCTTTCCATATTCCTCTGCACACAGGCGATTATTCCTCTTTTTATTTATATTTTTTTTAAAAAGGGGGATTTTTCTTTTTCAATGAAGAGGACACGTCCGGCTGCACGGCCACAGTCCGGCTGTCTGTGACCGCGCAGGCTGCTCGATCGTTTATGATTTATCGAGATGATATGAATGTCAACCGGTCAAGGTCCGGTGTCCCGATGCCACGGCTGGATTGTCGAGCTTCTGCCGGGAAACATCTGCCGCAAGCGTTCGGATGATTTTTTTTTCTTTCTGCGAATCTGCAAACAGTGAAGGGATCCAGATTGGGAATGACACGCTGCGGTAATATTATGGATTAGAAAACAGTGATGATGTGACTGCGACACTTTAAAAAGAGAAAATGCTTCCCAGCCGTCTGTCACCGAACACTGTTTTTTAATAATAATAATTAAAAAAAAAAAAAAAGGTTACACTAAATCCATCTCCAGCACCATCGGCTCATCGTTTTTGCAGCAGAATAACTCGCACCAAGCCCAAGATCTGACAAGAGGACACCATGTCGGCGGTGATGATAACGAGAAAGGTGCGAAAATGGGAGAAGCTGCCGGGGAAAAACACTTTCTGCTGCGACGGCCGGGTGATGATGGCCCGGCAGAAAGGAGTCTTCTACCTGACCCTGTTCCTCATCGTCGGGACCTGCTCGCTCTTCTTCGCTTTCGAGTAAGTCAGCCTCAGATTTTATAAAAAAAAACAAAAAACATTTTAAAAAAGTGTATGCAAATCACTTTGAGGCCTCTGAGCCTCTCCCCAGTACAAAAAACCTCAAGTTTTTCTACACTAATTGGACCCTTATCCAACTTTAAATCTGAAACCATTAATCGATTAGTCGATAGAAAGTCAATCAGCAGCTATTTGAATATTAGATTATCAAGTGTCAATAATCTTCTATGAGAAAACAATAAAATACATCATCTTAGGCTCAGGAGTCTTGTGAAAGAGCTGCAACTGATGATCATTATTTCCTCTATCCATTAATTGATTAGTTCGGTCTGTGAAATATGAGAAAATGTCAATCTCTGCCCAAAGTGACGCCCTCAGATGTCTAATGTGTCCAAAACCCACAAATAATCATAATTAATGCCCACAGCGCACTAAAGAAACAAACATTATTCACATGGAAAAGACTGGAATATAACATTTTGACTTTTGTTTCTTCAAAAAAAATGACTCAAAATGGTTGGGAATTAATTTCATGATTGACAACTAATCGATTAATGGTTGCAGATCTGCCACGTGATGGATATTTTAAAGATCCAACTTTTAATCGTTTGCACAAAGAAAACAGGTTGCTTCATAGTAAAAGTAATGGTTGCAAAAGGATGCACAAAGGACAACAAATATTTTCATTATTGATTTACCTGGAGATTGCATTTGTGGTTGAAATGTCAGCAGTAGCTGTTATACTTCCCCAGAACTTAAGCCAATGTGTTGAAATTGCTCATTTTATCCACCCAACTATCCAGAAATCAAAGATCTTCAGATCACTGGTGTATCACAAGAAGAACTACAGAAATAGTTGGTAGTTTTACAGGAAAACTTGACTGAAATGATAAATAAATGATGAAAAATAGCTGCTTTTAGTTCTTACAGCCTCGTCTAAACCATTTGGGTCATCTTTTGGTCCACCTGATATGTGTCCAGTCATTTTAAAGGACCACTGGATGCTCTACTCTGTACTCGGAGGTAACCAGAGTCTTTGGATCAGTGTTTTCTGGTGCAGCTCATCTGTAACCTCCTGCCTGGCCTGGATCTGTAACAAGCAATAATTTCTGTTTGATGCCTGTTGGTCTGTGTCTTGTTTGTCAGGATTCACCCTCTGACAGAGAAGTGCTTTATGACTGACCACATACTGTGATGTTTAATATTTAACGACCCGAGCTGTCCAGCCCTGCTTCTGGTTTAAGAAAGGAAAGCTGCCTTTTTTTGTCCTCTCAGCAGTTCTGTCTCCATCCACTCCTCGTCCAACCCAGTGGACTCATTATCCCTGAGAACAACCTGCTCAGATGCAGCATGTGAACCCAGGTCCCGTCAGCTCAGGCTGCACAGTGGTTTTAAAATGAAGAACACGAGCTGGAATGAGGCTCATAAAGCAGTGCTGCTTCCATTTTCTATATTAGTCCTTTTAGTTTCCTCTTTTTTGTTTTCTTTTGACACTTTTTAACGGACACTTCAGGCATGATGATTTAGCACAAAATCCTGCAGTGTAACACAGTAACACTCTTGACTGTGGGCGTGTATGCAGCTACCAGGCCAAATGGATTTGGAGCGTAGCATAGCGGAGAGTAGAAGTAGCTGCTCTCAGAGTGCCAGGCCCTTCCCGTCTCTCTCTGCCCTGCCAGTTAATGCCTCCTGCTTTCCTTTGAGTCTGGACAGAAGGAGCTGTTGTCCTCAGATGAGGGAGAGAGATGATACCGCTCCCAGTGAACATCCAGAGCTGGGAGGAGGCATCGTGGTGACTAATGGCTGGAGGGTCATTAGCTGGCTATGTTCATATTACAGCCCAACATAATTATCTCACGCGGGGGGATGATATTGAAGTTAGAGATTAGGCCCCGACAACATGGGGGTAATTGTCAAACTCGCCATTACATGGCAAGTGGATACATATCTGATTTAAATCTCTGTCAGAGTAAAAGCCTGCTGCAGAAAGGCTCAGAGGGTTAATGCTTTCACAACCTGACCATTTGCAACTGTCTTTAATAGGGGCATTAAACACTAAGTCTAGGCTTTTATGGTTTTGTAACATCACATATCTTTAGCTAGGTGCAGGGCTCTAGCTAACAGTTATTTTCATAACTGAGTAAATTTGCTGATCATTTTTCTGATTCTAATTTCCCAGAGCCTGAGATGCCTGTATTGTCCAAGCAACAGTTTAAAACCAAAATGTATTCAGTTTACCTCGAAGGAATGCAGCGAATCCCTATATTTAAAACAAAGACGCTGAAAATATGCATTCTTAGTGAGAAGCATGTTTTTGGTCCGCGACAAAGGTGCAGAGATAAATAACTGTTGTATATATTGCCATGAAATTTGCTTCAGACGTTCTTCCTTCCTGCAGAATTGATTGCCGTCACTTTGGTGAACCCCTAATGCTTTCTTTAGCACCACGTTTCTGTCAGAATGATCATTGTCCAGTGCTTTGCTTTATGACTAAATATTTGCAAAGCTTACGACAGCCTTTACAGCCTCTGCTTTCTTTGGAAATGTCAACATGCTGACACACTGAAGTAAGATGGAGAACATGAAAAACATGCCAAACACTCCCTGCTTCTTCTTTTTACATGAAGGTTTGCTGCTTGTTAGGATTGTCATTGTGTCATGTTAGCATGCCCATGTTAGCTCAAGTACAAGCCTAAACTAATGAGACGCAGAGCGGATTGTTTCACTCATTTTGTGCCAAAGATAGGTTCACTTCTAAAATAATAGAAAATCTAAATTCCTGCCCATCAAGTAATAGTAAAATCTACTAATAGTTACAGCTCACAAATATCGTCACTGCCTCAGTGTTGATTACCAGCTGTGTTATGGTCGACTAAATGACACTGGGTCAATATCATCTAAGATTAAAAAGGCAAATTCCTGATGCTTCCTTGCTTTGGAGAATTCATTCCTCTCATGCGGGCTTCAGGTTGAGCCGTATGCTGCACCGTGGCAACGATGGGAGAACAGAGAGGGCAGTGTCCTGCCGTCGGCTGGCTCATATCCAACACCGGCCGAGCAGACATCTCACTTTTATCACCAGCCATCGGCACCCTGTGCGGGGAGACCTCTCTTTGCTTTAATTTGTGCTAAATTGCGGAAATGAGTGGCCGAACACACAAATTGAAAGACTCATTAGGAGCAAGTAAACAAATTAGTCACTAAAGAGGAGGGTCCAGTCTGTTTTTTTTCCTTGCTGGGCAGAATAAATGTTAGGACCAGTGTTTTTTTAATTTATTTTTTGTTGCCATCTAATATGTACTGATCTTTTTTTAAATGGGGTTGTTTATGTGTATTAAACTAGGTGCTTTAATACTGAGGTTAGCTGGATGCACAGAGGGCTTTGACATGTACGTAGCAGCTAAAAGCTTTGTCACACTTCACTGGTTTGGTTTCCATTTGCCTGTTTTTGCATATATATGTGTGTGACTGTGTGTGTGTGTGTGTGTGCATATGTGCATACGGATAACCACCTATGGAGCTTGGACGAAGGAACTGGAACACAAGGACAGAGTGTCATCTGTGTGTCCACCGCAGGACACTCAGCCATGCGGCCAGAGAAGCATATGTGTGTGTAATACATGAAAGGAGATGCATCTTTTCTGCCTGTGTTGGTGCTGCAGCTACTTCCATAAATACACTGCTGGCGTTCGGCGTGTCCGGCTGACTGCTCATCCTCTAGTCGCCTTCATGAAATGTGAAGGTGTAATGAAGGAGCGGTAGAAGCACACAGCTGAGCCTGCAGAGCGAGCGGCTGCAGTCAGAGCAGATCTGGTAACCGACCCCTGAGTCTCCCTCTGCGTCTAACCCCACCCTGTCTCCCCGTGAGCCAATAAGAAAGCGGCTTCCAGCCGAGGCTAAATGAGCAATAATGTGATTTACGCCCTATTCAGAGTAAATGCTCCATTTACAGTAACCGTGATCTACAGGCTTTGTTCTCTGGAAGCTTCTCTGCCACAAGGAGAGTGTTGCTTTTCTGTGGGGGATGAAGTGATATATTTTTGCCCACACACGGAGGGAAATTTTTATGTTTCCTTTCCATTTGTTTGGATTGAAATAGATGCTCTCCACGAGGAGAGCTTACAGAGATGGATGCCTCTTCAGTCATGATGTTAAATCACTGGTGGTGTCTTTTAATGTGGCTTAAAGTAAATAATCAGATTTTTTTTCTCATTAGTCTTGATTTTACTTCTATGATGCAACAGCTGCGGTCCTAGCTTTAATCCTAGTAAAAGGGCCGTGACCTTCACTCTAATGTTTTAAATGTTGCATAACAAGGAAGAGTGATTTAAACCAGAAATCACATTGTAAACTCTGGCAGTTCTGGTCTGGACTGCCACTACTTTAAGGCAAGGATGGGTATAGTTTTTTGGCTACTTGGATTAGAAGTTCAACTGCTTTTCATGCAGCAGACAGAATGTTTTCCATCCACATGGTTAAAAGAGTCTTAAAGGAATTTGGAAATGTCCTTAGACAAGCAGGAAAGGTTGTTAGATGAACCTCTGGATTTTTCAAAGACTTGAGAGAGATGTACTGTATGAAAGCCATGTGAATATATGGTTGTTTTCTGCCGGTGTCCTGCAGAGAATTGGGGGCAAGTAGAGTTTGTGAGCTTTTGTTTTTTTTTTTTTTTTTCCAGCAGTGCCCTAGAAACAGGCAGAGTCACAGTCAACAGATGTTTGTATGACAGAGGGCTGTTACCGAAGCCCACTGCACAGCCAGTGCATAATTCATTTGTAGTGTGATTCATGCAGCATTGCAACAGCTTACAACTGTTAAGTATTAATAAAGGAAGGGCATGACATGTTCAACAAAGGTAAAATGTCGTGAGGCTCCATGCACGCCATGATGACATATTAATCCGGGGTTCAGCGGCATTTGAGCTGAGACCTTGAAGTGATTTTAATTCGATGATATCCCCACTTTAGAAGCTTCTCATCTCTGAGCTCGTGTCATCCTGAGTTAAGAGGGGGAATCCTCTGGATCAAAGTCTGCAAGAGACACGCCCTAAAGCATCTAAAGCCCACCCCTTGTACAAACACTTACACACATACGTTGGTGTAGCTCTTATGTACTGTCTCTTATGCAATTGTTTTATATCTGCAACGTTATTGTTATACGTCACTATACTCAGCCGGAGGTCAACTAAAGTCATAAAATCCTATTTTCATGTTGCGGTTTTGACTTTATGGTCTAATCAAGGTTCATTTAGATGTGACGTGAGCATAGTGTTGGCTAATCAGTAACCAATATGACTTGCAGCTGATGTGACAATTTAGCAATAACTTCATTTATTTTTTAAGAATGTAGAAAACTGAGAGTTCTGTGAGCAAAGTTTGTCCCAGTTTTCCTAAGTGTGTAGGTGTTGATCCGTTGTTCCAGCTTCAAATAATCATTGACAGAAGAACTGTTAACATTGTTTACCTCAGTAAGAGTAGCAAACACCACAATGTGGTAATACGCAATCACAGGGAGAAAGTGCCTTCGAAAATATCTGTTAGTGTATTTATGTATGAAAGTACAGACTCTTTGGGCAAATGGTCTCTGTCAGTGTTTTTATATTAATGATGTATTATTTATGTAATGAATGTATTAGTTAGGAGTTAAGTTAAGAAGTTAGTTCGATACTTTGACAACATGCTTCCATGCTTTGCTTCTTTAGAGTTAAATAAGTTATTTAATCTCAAATCATCAGGAGCTTCTGCTCAACCATCTCTGATTGGATTGATACTGTTGACATTAAACTATGGGTATTCAAAATGGTATCTGTGAAATTTTAGATTGATACATAAAGTACTTTCTGAAATATATATTTTTAGTAAAAAAATGTGTGTGTAAGTGGCACGTGAGTGTTATTTTGCGGTTTGATCAATGATACTGCTGATGAAAACATTCCCCCTCATGGACGAGAGGCTCTGATTAAATCCAGTTTTCCTGCTGCCCGTGTGGTGACTGATGAACATGGTGTCACCGGGCCGGCTCCACCCTGCTCCCCAACAGCAGAGGAAATGGTCACATCCAGGAAGGACGTGGGGGACTTTGATGGGAAGCGATGATGGAACGTGCCACGAATACCTACCAGTCATCATTACGGGAATTACACTTCATCGACAGGCTGCTCTCTGCAGTCTGTGCACTAACAAATGGGACAAACATACTTCAGAGACCTGCACCACTGGAAGTTTCCATTGATTTGATCTCTGCTCCTCGTTTCCATTAGTGTGAAAAAGACACTGCAAGGAAAAACTGCTCCGACTGGTCCAGCAGGTGTTTTGTGTTGTTGTTCCGTCAGTGCTCAGGTATGCCAACGTACCTGCTCCATCTGCATGGTGCAACCGAACAGGTGGACTTTGTTCTTTGCTGTAATGACTTGCATTTTTTTTTTTTTTTACACCTACGTCTCTTTCCATTTAAACCTCCTTCCAGCTGTGTGTGGGAATGTAAATGCCACCGAGACAAGACTAAATGTAACCGTGGTTGACACTGTAGAAGATAAGTCGATGATAGATCATTTGTCTTGTCCAAAACTCAAAGATATTTCATTGGAAATCTTATAAAACAGAAGAAAGTAGCAAATTCAGTATTCTGCAACTTGAGCAATTTCAGCTCTCATTATGAGATGTCAGATGTGCAGTGCTGTCCAAACGTATTTGGACAGTGCTTCACTTATGGTTGTCAGCTCTGTGCACAGTGATACTGAACTCAAAGAATGGCTGTAATGATGAAAGTCTGAACAACTAAATACCAACTAAACCAGAAACCGTCACCAAATATTAAAAGTATCCTTGTACGTCAGTTCTGGTTTGAAGCAGTTTTGGCTGCCCAAAATTATTTATAGGTCACACTCATTTATGTAACTATATATGCAGCGTTTCGGCTGATATGTGATCCAGACAGCTGGCAGCTGTCCATATGAGATGTTATATACAAATGCAACAGTGCAAATGCATTCTGTAATTTTGTGGAGAAAAATACTAAAAGAATCACCTACATATGAGACTGCATCTATTGATTAATTTTTTAATCTATGAGACTGATTATGTTCTCAAGCAATTGATTAATCATTCGGTCGATAAAAAGTCAGACAGAAGATGAACCAAAACCCAAGAGACACTGAGTTTATTGTCATCTAAAGTCCCTCTGCTCATTGACTAAACCACTAAAAACTCATCGTTGCAAATCAAAGGTACTTATATAGATTTTGTTCCATTAAAATCGTCCTTTCATGGCTGAAAGTGTCTTAGATGTATGAAACAGTGAAAGTCTTAATTCATGTCTTGGAGACTCATCAATACATGGCAGTATTTGTTGTTGGTGGCTCATTAAACTCCAGAACATACAACACCATATGGAAATGTTACTAGGATACAAAACTCCAATTTTTATTAGAGTTAAGCCAAGCTCAGCATGAAATCTTTAAGGTGTTTGCTTAAAAAAACGACTTAATCAATTGATCGTCAAAATAGATGCAAATTCATCTCTTGGTGATCCACTAATCGATTAATCGACTGTTTCAGCTTATAGTATATAAATATAATGTAGCTGGAAGACTTTGCTTTTACAATACTGATGTGTGTCTCTTCAGAAAAAGGTTTTACATTTTTCTGCATGGCATAAATCTTCAGTCGTCCAATTTTCTGTCTCCCATGTGATGAAGCGCAGCGTGTGGGCAGTTTAATGCTCGACGTGCAGCACAAAACTCGCTGTTGTTCCGGACATGTCCCAGTCCTTTACAGTCCTGCGGCGCAACATTAGTGTTGCATTATGAATATATGATCTCAGCCTCATAGGAGGGAGATGAGGCCGCACAGTTTAACTATTAATAACTGCATGTGGAAGCCTTTGTTGCTGCTGTTGCTGCTGCTGCTCTGCTCTGTCGCAGCACTTTGCACTGCAGCTCACATCTGTTATCGCGCTGAGCAGCAGGCCTTTTTTGGAGGAGCTCTGCTGGCTGTAATCTTGACGGCCTGGCAAATGGAGCTATGCTAATATTCCTGCACTCTTCCAGAAGGCGAGGGGACCGTGGCGTGGTGTTGTTTATTCACGGCCGTGACTTCGGCATGGTCCAGAGAAAGGACAGCTCTCACAGTTCATGACCTCATGCTCAGAACACCAGTTCAGAATATGTATGGTTCTGTCGTGTCGTGCCCTCTGTGCTCTTTGTGAGAGGGCTCTCCCATTTCTGTTAAGGTTGTCTGCAGTTATTATGTGTTGCTGTGCAAAGACATAGAATATTTTAAATATTATTTTCATTATTAATAAATCTTTGAATTGTTAATCTTTCCTATCTATAATATGTCAGAAAAATGACTTTTCTCCTGATCATAGGTGTTGTCTAATGTTTTGTTTCTAGTCCAAAACTGCATAATAACTCCTAATCCCTTTTCCTTCCACAGATGTCCGTACCTGGCTGTCCATCTGTCTCCTGCCATCCCAGTTTTTGCTGCCGTCCTCTTCCTCTTCGTCATGGCCATGCTGCTGAGGACCAGCTTCAGTGACCCTGGGGTGCTACCACGGGCCCTTCCAGAGGAGGCTACGTTTATCGAGATGGAAATCGGTGAGTCACAGGATTCCAGAAATATTTGTCTTTATTGTCAGTGGACTTTTGAGGGCGTATTGTCTTTTTTCATCGGTATTCCCCTTAAAACTTGGAGTTTAACACTGCAGAGCCCAGTTAATCTGCTATTTGGACTGTGCGGGTGTGGTTTGATCAGATTACACTGACTGTGACCAAACAACCAGCCGTCATCAGGATGTGATTCAAATGTTGCTCAATCCTGATTGGTCAACAAAACATTTGGAACCTGTTTCCAACTGAGTCTCGCCCACAGATTGAGGAAGTAAATGATCAGGCCTTGGAATACAAGTTTTCCTTAATTTTTTTTACACTGTCAGACAACATTACAAATATAATGTGTTACATTTTCATTATACATAATTGTGCATCAAATTACAGTGTTAAAATTAAAAGCTGACTCTAATTAGTTTCACTCAGCTACATAATGTCTCGGCTCATTCTTCATCTGTCCAGCCTGCAGCTTTACTGTTTTGGTTCATTGTCACCAATCTGACAGGACGTTTTTTGGTTGCAGCCGGCAGCTGTACACTGCTAGCTCACCAGCAAACAGCAGACAGACACAGTTTGTGACTAGCTGTGGAGCATTTAGCGACTAACGAGCCTGATGTTTCTCTCAGGAGTTGCTAGAAACCAAAAGCTGAGCCAAAAAAGAGAGTGAGCATTTGACCTACATTCATCAGGTGAATGCAAACACGACTCAAAATGGAGAATAATGCTGCTCCATCACTGCTGAATGTGCAAACAGGATAACAAATGTGCTGTAAATAAACTTTTTAATGGGATTATCTCAACTTAAGCAAATTTTTAGCTTTAAAAATGCATATGAAATATTTGTTATATATGTTTCTAATGATGCATCTGCAACCAAAGTCATTGCATTGCTGATAATAATAAAAAGTATAATAAAAGGATAAGCCTTATTACTCTCTGTTTAGTCATGCACCTTTCAGTGATAACACTGAGAGCCAATATAGATTGTTACCAGGTTTAAAGTAGCCTGTGGCCTCACCTCTCCTAGTGTAACAGTCCACTACCTGTCCTTGAAATGTGCAGAGCTATTCACTGTAGTGCTGATAAGGCCACCGGCTCAAAGCCTTAATCTACGTCCATTCAAATGTTAAGTCACATACAGGACAAATGGTTATTACAGATGTTACGTCATCGTCATCTGGGGTGTTGTGGACAAGCCTGTCTGTTAAAAATGACATCCGCAGATGTGGGCTGCAAATTAAGCGGAAGTAGTTCAAGTGAAACTATTTCAGAGCCATAAATGTTTCAGTATATAGGTTGGCTAAGCAGCCAGCAGACGGCCTCATCGCTGCTGGTTTATTCATGTTTGTTATGCTTTATGTTGCTACAGGTTGTGTGTGCTCATCCGTGGATGTAGGGCTCAGTCTAAAGCACACTTTCATTTCATTACAAGGGCTCTGTTTGTCTCATTAGCCAAAACACACTGCACACTGTATGTTAGGAATGACAAATCATTAGCAAACAAAGCTAAACAAGCCCCGTCCTCCTGTGAATTTTTGTGTTTGCATTCTGCCACATTTCTGCAGAATCCTCTCTTGCCTCCCTCCCTCCCCTGGCCTCCTTACCTCCCTCCCTGTACAGTTTTTCAGTGTTTCTTTGTCTCTGCTGAAGATTCCCCGTGTCCTTCAGCCATCACTCGTGCTCTCTCACTCCAGACAAGAGGCCTGGGTGGAGGCTGGTCTGCGCTCATGATAGAGGATGGCTGTAAAAGCGATGCTGAGGCGCACTCTGAGAATGGGTTAGCTGGCTGCCAGTGCTGCTCTCTGATGTCTGTGACTCAGTCTGGAGCTTGGATGGCAATAGTTCGGTCTTCTGGCTGTCCAGCATTTGCACCGAATGACTCTGATGGAGAATGTACATCTCCTGTATGTAACCTGCATGAGCAAGTCCCATCAGAAGCTACCTGCGTGCACAAGGCTGTAAATAGAACTGAAACACTTAGTCATTGATTAATTAGTCAATCGTCATAAAATAAATTGATTATTTTGTAAAATATTTATCTCTTGAGCCACTTTCCAAGCAGAAATATGAATCATTTCCTGTTTCTGGCCTTTCAGATGTGATGCTTTGCTGCTTTCCTTCGTCTAATCCACAATAGAAATATCTGAAAATATAATAGTCTGTCCTGAAGTTATCTCCTTATTTTTTTCTTAAAGCTAGTGAGGTTTTGAAGTATTTGTTCATCTAAAAGCCCCATCATCAGTATGAGCAGCATTTAATGCAGCTTTAGTTAAAGGTATCTGTGATCTGGATCAGTAAAACTGCAGGATCCAGGCCTGTTATCAGCCTGTTATTGAGTTACAGTGTGTTCCATACACAAACAACATGTAAATCAAACTTCTGGATTGTTTTGTTTCTATCAGTAGTGTCTGTATGCATAAAAAAGACAATCAATCATAGAAAACAAAGTATGACATAATAGTAATTTTTTGTTTTTTATTTTTTTTAATTTTGTGTCCATGTAGCTAATGGAAATTGCAGGTGGTCCAAGCCAAGTTGTTACGTAAAAAAATCAAAAAAGATAAATTGTAATTTTTACACTTTGGTTTTTGTACAAATTAAAAAGGCATGTATGTAGGTATGACATGTTAATCAGTGAGCTTTACATGAGCAGATTTTGACTTTTGACAGAGGGCTGGCGGCTGTGTTTCTGGTCTTTAAAACTCAAGACAACTTTATATTTAACACCCTGTACAGATTCAATAGTTGTATCCATTATCTTCTCTAACTCTGGGTAATAAAGCAAATCAGTGTATATCCCAAAATGTAAAATTTTGGATTTTAAATCACCTCTCGCCACATCCTTTCCAAATCTCCAACAATTTTTAAGTCCTGGTTTTTGATACAAATTGCTTGTGGCCTTTAAAGCCCTTTGCTGACAAATTGTTTCTTTTCTGTATTATACCTTCCTTTTCCTCTCTTGGTTTTATTGTTGCATTCAACCTATCAGATCTCAGCAAATCTGCCAAAATGACAAGATATTCACGACTCAAATGTTAAAATGGCACACATGACCACACCATGCCAGCTTAGATGAAGCACGTAATTTAACAACTTTCATCCCACACTTGTAGATATTATGCAGTATGTTTTTTTTTTTTTTTAAAGTGCTAGTGTAGCTGTTTGCTGTTGCAAGTGTGGGCGTGCTAAAAGCCAGTCCAAGAGCCAGGCAGGCATGTTGATGAAGCCGCTGCAGCGTCGATGCTCTGTCCCCTCAGCCTGTTAGCGGCAGTCCCGAGGGGGAGGAGATGCTAATATGAGGAGAAGCATCCTCTTGGAATACAAAATGCTTCCAGCAGCTCGAACCTTGCCACCCCGAGGGAGTGGCATCATTCCCCGCGAGTGATGACTCATAAATTTATTCTCCAGCGGTTTATCCTGAAAGCTACTAATCTTCCATTGTGTACATGAATAACACTGAGACTTTAATGCTGTCAGAAAAACAATAATTCCACCACATTCATTTGTGTCGGGTGGTTTTGATGGTAACTTGTCAAGGAGTTGGTTTCACAGATTTATTTGTGCAGAAACTGTTTAGTTTAACATACCAGCGGAGCATCATGGAGGACTCTATAAAAATGATAAAAATGCAATTTAGTTAATGTAAAATTTTTCCCCTACTCATCTCCGAACACTTCCTCCAGTCCAGATAATTTGATTTGTACAAATACTACATTTTTTATCCTAATGTACCGCCAGCAAGTGAAATGAGGGTGCCTGCTCTATTCCATTAACTCCACATTCGCGCCGGCCCACTGCAGCATGTTAATGGTAGATGCTCCCCAGCAGTTACTCTCCTGAGAGATTCCAGCCAGCAGCTTTGTGATCAATAGCTTGCCTCTCTGCCCTCCCAGCTCCTGCAGTGTAACATAATCTGAAAAAATCTCAATTGTCAAGACATAACGACTATATGAGAATTTCATTTGGTTTCTGCTGTGCAGAAACAAGACTCCCATGTAAAAGATCCGGCTGCGAAATACCGTTGTTCCGGTGTTAGCTGAAGTCCAAATGGGGTAATACTGTGCATTATAGTGCTGCAAATAAATAATATTAACAGCTCAGCAGTGATTACACATAAATCCACTGTCATCAATACTCTATTGAGCCAGTGTTGTCATTCACTGACGTCCTCAAGGTTTAGCTGTCGAGATTTACAGCAGACATTGTTCTTGTCCTTGTCACTGAATCTCACATTGCTCACTGCCAGGTTAAGAAATATGCAGCAGGTGAAGACAACGCTGAGAGTTCCTGTCTAGTCCGATGCAAGCCAATGCAACATGGATGCACCTTTTAGGATAATTTGCTATGTGTCCAAAATTGGCACCACTGATGAACACTTTTTTTTTTTTCCCCCCGCAGAGGCTGCCAATGGGAACGTCCCCGCAGGGCAGCGACCTCCACCTCGAATCCGCAACGTTCAGATCAACAACCAGATCGTGAAGCTCAAGTACTGCTACACCTGCAAGATCTTCCGACCACCTCGAGCTTCACACTGCAGCATCTGTGACAACTGCGTCGGTGAGAAATCTCTCCTGAAGTGCCATCAGTTGTTGTAATGTTCAAACAAAGCCTTTTACAAAGTGGAAAGATGAGACAGGGTTTATTTCAGTTACACAGAAATAGAAAGGTGAGTGAAGTTTGGTGAGAAAAATAGTTCTGTGACATGATGATTATTACCGAAGCTGCGGCTTTAATTACATCTCTGCATGTCATAGTGATGATTTAAAGCTCTTTAAAGCTTTATAAATAAATGTTGAACTAAGCAGACTGGGTGCAAAAGTTTTGGGAAACTGAAACAAATGGACCGCAAACTTCACAAGTTTTTATTTATAACGTGCTTTGAGTTTTGAAGGCGGTTTAAACTGTGAATATGTGTGTGTTGTGTTGTGGTGTGTGTGTGTATGCAGCTGTGTCATCTTTCGGGCCTGCAGAATAACCGTGATTTGGCTGCTGATGATTGAGGAATGTGTTTGAAGGGAGCGTAGACTCATAGGCGATATGAGGGGAGACAGTGGAGGCTCAGTGAGGGAATAAGCGCTCAGTCATTGTGAACACTGGTTCATCTGTGTCCACCTGCTGTAGAAACACACACACACACACACACACACACACTGGCCTAACATTACACAGCAGCATGCCTCAGTCCCTCTTTGACTGCAGTGAAGATCTTTTCCTCTCAAACTTGATTTTGTTTGCAGCAGTAAAAGTCTCTGAGAGATTGCACTATTATGAAAAATGTACAAATTACAGTTAAGCGCACAGTTTACCTGAACAAATTGTTACAGAAGTAATTAAAGTCAGTTTTGCAGTCAGGCACATTCAATTTGAAATAAAATAACTCTGTGGTTAAAGTGCTAATTTGCCTCCAGACGTCTGAATAACGGCACATAGAAGGAAAAGCAATTTACTTTGATTATTAAGCAAGTAAAGTGCTTCAAGCTTTAATATTCAGCGAACGTTGCAGAGGTTCATTGTCCTTCTGCACGCTGTGTGCAGTTTAAAAATCTGAAAGAACTCTGTAGAGCAACAGAGGCGTCTACAGTCATGCTAGCAGCTCGTGCTTTTTGTGGTCTGAGCTTAATGCTCAATCCATTTAGGTTGTTAAAATGCTTGCAGTGACAATGCTGGATGCTAATGTTCATTTTTACCATGTTTCCCATCTTAGTTTAGCATCTCGCATTTACTAATTAGCACTAAACAGCTGAGGTAAAAGCAGAGACTGATGGAAAAGTCATTAGTTTTTTAGTTATTTAGTTATAAATCAAATTACTGGGCAAAGTAGAAATTCAGCCACATGATGGAGCGAGAGGAAAAGTGATGGGATCACCAAAGTCATTAGGCTTCATCCTCTGGGGAGCACGAAAGTCAGAAACAAATTCAATGTTGATCCCTGCAGCAGGATTTGCGATATCCAGTCAGGAGCAAAGTGGTGGAACCGTATATAACTCCTTTACATTTCAGTCAATGTGGATGCGTCAGACACATTTATACCTGAAACCCTTAAACTCTGGTCACTACCTCATACCAAACCTGTGTGCGTTGGAATACAAACTGAGAACAACAGAAAACGGGTGAATTCTGTTCTATAAATATAAAAAGGATCCATTCGTTTTGACCTCATACCTACAAACTGCCTCTCGTCTTGTGTTTCTGCCTCGATGTTTACTGTATATTGTTGTGAAACTCTGTCTGGGGAGTGCAGCGGTGTCTGCTGCGGAGGAAAGTGTAAAGTAAGATGTTTACCTCCATTGTCCGTTTGACCCTGCCCTGCTTTCATGTGGCTCTGCTGCAAATGATAGAAGAGGAGAGGCAAAGAGGAAGCAATCACTATATTTAGACTCCAGGTTTACTGAAGCTGATGCACAAAGCTGTCTTTGACTAAAAGACTGCAGCCAAAACCGGTGTATTTTTAACACTCGTTTGATTTCCAAAAATTGTCTGCTCTCTAAGAACACCGGCTCTGCTACGTTTTACATATTTATAGGTCACCCTTTTCTTCTTCTTCTTCCTCGCAGACCGTTTTGATCACCACTGTCCATGGGTGGGCAACTGTGTGGGCAAGAGGAACTACCGGTACTTCTACCTGTTCACCCTGTCCCTCTCCCTGCTCACCATTTATATCTTCACCTTTGACATCGTCCACGTGGTCATGCGTGAGTATCCTGTCAGTTATTTGTCCAATCAGAAGGACCAGACCAGTGCGTCATGTTACAGAGCAACACAAATGACTAAAACAATGTTGTAAAACTTGAAGGACGACCTTTAATGCGAGCTGCTTTTATTCAAATGTAAATGTGCTGGAACTTTGGCTTATTTCAGACCAGGCTTTTTCCCAGAGCATGACATGACACACGACAGCATCAGACAGCTTGACATAACTCTCTTTCATCCTCATCTTCCTGCTTCCTTGTTTGACTCGACACATGAAGCCAGAAGGCAGAGAAATGAGAGACAAGAATGTTTCTTGTCAGGATTATTAGCTCTGGCCTTGTAATCTTAATACTGTGTAACATGTAAAAACTGTGTCTTTTCAGTGGACTAAAATTAAAAACGGGGAGTCAGAGAAAAATCTTTTCCTAACTTCTCTCCATGTGTTTTCCTGTTAACAGGCTCAGTGGATAATGGCTTTTTGAACACGCTGAAGGAAACACCTGGAACATATCCTTTTAAGCTCTGACCATACTTTATACTGCAAAAACTCCCATGTGCGGCCTATTTGCTGGATTTTATTGAACAGATGAGTAAAAAATTCTGCGCTGGAGAGCTGCTGTCCAATCTTAGTTCAGCCATAACTTCTGTGGACGTGACAGGATGTTAAGCTCTGGCTTCCATCACCCGCTGAACCTGCACTGAGCTGTAGTCATACTTGGGAGTTCGACTTTTCCAGTCCCTCAGAAACCAGTCAACACAACAACAAAAGTGTAAGGAATGGCTTACAACAGTGTGTTTGTCTGCTCTAATGTGAGTAGCAAAGTCACTGTGTAGTATTTTCCCCACAGTGACAAAAAACAGTCCTGGATGCAGTTCAGTGCAAGGTTAGCAGCTCTGTCCTGCTGTCTTTTTTAGATTTGAGAAGCTTTACATGCCAACAACCCCACCTAGAGTAAGATATGTTTGACAAACACATTGGCATTGGTTGGCCCTATAGACTGTACATAAAAGATGAATATAGTGACTTAGACCAGCATTCTTTCTTAAGGCCAGCAGGGGGCGACTTATCTGGCTGCAAAAATAAGTCTAGTTGTATAGAAACCTTTGAGAAAATGACTCCACTTCTTAATTGATTTGTTACCACAACAAACATTTTCTTACTGAGGTTATGGTCTCAATTGTTAGTGTCGAGGCCCCTTTTAATACCGCATTGTTCATTTTTTTACATTATGGTTCTTTTTTGGGTAAAATGGATGATAAAGGAAGATACGCTTTAGGCTAGGGCTGTCTAAGGCATAGTGTCCTCGGGTTCTCCAGCCAGATCCAACCCTAGCTCATCACATCCGGTTACATTAGGCCAACAGAACATGAGTGCACAGACTAATGGATGAGGTCAAGTTGGTTACATCCATCTTTTATATACAGTCTACAGTTAGTCCTCACTCACTAAGTTCAGCATCCAAACAGGGTTATTTTAGAACAACAAACCAACCTGATAATACAATTTGTTCTTAGTATACTACAGTGCATACTACATTCTTTTTTTTACAATTTTTTTTGCATGGATGTTAAGCTGTTGAGGATGCTGATTTTTCCTTAGCAAATGCAGCTTTAGCTTCAGTTTCTGTTTTAGTGCAATATTATGTATGTTAAGTGTACTTAATCTGTAAAATCAGTGGTGGTGGACGCAAGAGCTGACAAATGAGTTTGTCTCCCTGTTCTGTTTCAAATCAAGGACCCATTTTTACAAAATCTTTATAAAATGTAAAGCTAATTTTAAACTGCATTGTGTACTTTAGAGGAATGGAAGCTTAAACATTTCATGGAAGTAAATTCTAGGGGTAACTTCTTTCTTTCTTTCTTTCTTTCTTTCTTTCTTTCTTTCTTTCTTTCTTTCTTTCTTTCTTTCTTTTTAAGAGTTAAAAGCCAAAAATCTCTGCTTTTATCCCTGTACTCCTCTTTGTTCTTCCGCTGACGGTCACTGGCTTTAATCATGTTACATAACTTTCTGCCACATTGGGGTTGCCTGCTGTCCACTGTTTAATCAGTCAGGCTGTGAGTCAGGCGGAAAACATCTGTTGCTGTTTTCTTAACTGGAGTTCACTGTCCTGGAGGTGCTGGTGTGTTTCTTCACCCTGTGGTCAGTGGTGGGACTGACGGGCTTCCACACCTACCTGATCTCCCTCAACCAGACCACCAACGAGGATGTAAGTGCATCTCACTGCATGTTCACTCTTAACATTACAAAGCCACGTAACTGTGTTGCCACATCTGCAGTTCGTTTTCCCAGGTGTGAATCACACTGTGAGGCCCAGTGCTGCACTTTGTTCGGTTGTTTAGGTGTCACACTGTCTTTATAGAAAGCCTCAGTTCCACCAGCTTCTGTAACTCTGAGCTTCGTTGGCTGTCAAGACATAGCAGCAGTCACTTTAAGAAACTGAAAGACAATGAAACTTTTGTGTTTTGAACAAAGTTAAGCAACGATTACTTTGTGAGCACAGAGCTTCCATAAGAAATGCAGCAGCAGCACATGTTCTTTCATACCCATAGAACTCATCAACACTCTCTTTTGGTTCAGCTTTCAATCATCTTCTGTTAATACAGACATAACCATCAACCCAAAATGACTGGGGCTGATGGGAAATGGTTTTTGTTTAAACATATAAGATAAGCCACCTAATGTACCGTTTAAATTGCATTTTAGTTATTAGCGTAGTTTTAAATGTCAGTGAGACTTTCTTCTGACACAAAACCCACTGGAGTTGGTTTTACAGTACTTTGGCTCTCTACACAAAATAACCACGAGTTTTGAGCATAAACAGTTCAGGCACTTCTCTGTCTTTCACAAAGGAAAAGAGATTCCTCTTTGACAGTCAACAAGACACGAGAGTGAAAGTAAGATATGGAGTCTACCATCAGTATCATTCAAATATCTTTAACATCTAAAGTAATTTCTAAAATATCTGAATTTGCCTTGGTGGTACAAACTAATAACTCACTTGATTATGTTAACGTTAGTTAAAACCTTCGGTGGATTTTATTTGCTGATGTCAGCCCAATTAACTGCATGTCAGATCCATTTACTTTTCAAATGCCTGCTTTTCACATAAAATGCAGATGCAATTTAAAAGACCAGTGTGCAAGATTTCCGAGCATGTAGGAGAACCTGCAGCATCTGGCACTACAATGTAAAAACACAGAAGGCTGTCTGTAGAGCCAGTGTTTGGTTTGTACAGTGTTTGGGCTCTTGCTCAAAAAAGCTAACATATTACACATTAGTTGTTACGATTTAACAGAGTAATGTATTACTTTACTTATTTACTCCACGGGAAAAGAAACTGATCACACTTCTCAATTTTAATCTTTTATCTCAGTTCAAAGGCCCTTTGTATTAACCACAGTTGTTTTAATTCTGCTCTGTAAACAACATCAGCTTGACTCGACATTACTTCTGCATTTCACAGCAACATCACCTGACGTACATTGTCATGTAATGCCAGTTAACAACATAATATGAAGCCTTTCATGTGGCCATATATCAGCACAAAGCCCTGTCCTAATAGACAGAACATACACAACATCTTCCCTTTATGCTCATTCGTATATTATTGCCACAGAGTCTCACAGCACCACTGGTGAAAACAAGCGCACAGAGCACTTCACAGACAAATGAAGTGATGAGAACAATGCTCAGATTTGTGTCTGGGGGTTGGGGAGGGGAGTGGCACTGCTATACTGCCTCAAAATAAGTAGTAACTGTAACTGATGAGTCGGTGTAATGCGAGTACTGAATCTGGAAACTGTGATGTCTCACATGGCTGTGTTACAGACAAATGTAATGTCATTACTGTGTATATAACCCAGGAGAGCTCATTCTACGCTAACGAAAACACAATGTATAGCTGTTTGAGATGATAATACACTAGTGCATAATTATAAACACTACATTCCATTTCTGCTAAGAGATCCCACTAAATGTGATACAGTTGGTGCTTAAACACACTTTTGTTTACGAATCATTTATTGTTTCTGTTGGCGAGACTAAAAGTGTAATTGCTAGCATATTGGTTTTTCCTGGGCCACATGTAAATCAGGCGGCTCCTTCTACAGCACAGAGGGTGACAATAATGTTCTCAGATCTGTTTGGCATCTTCCAAAAACACCACAAGACACATATCTGCTGCTCTTCACACAACTACTGCATTTGAACTATTTCAGCATCCAGTTAGAAGCACTGATATGTTTCTTGTTTGCATTTACACTTAATTTTTTTGCAATGCAATCAAGTGTAAATGGGGAAAAAACAGAGACCCACATGTTCCTGCTGATTGGTGCTCACTTGTGTTTTCACCATCATTTCACCAATTCAAACTTGAGATGTGAATAATAGTTCAGTCTTACACAGATTACTTGTGAATGAACCATAAATGTCACCTGAGAGCAAAGTCTGACCACACTGATCAGTGACAGAGATAAAAAACAGTGACAAAAATCCTCCTGAATGCAGTTATGCTTTTACACATTGAGGAGTTTAGATGAAAACATTTGTTTAAGGCGAAGGCTTGTGTTTGTTTTAGTTGAAGTCAGTTGTCAAAGTTGAGTACATAATAAAGATTTGGGAATATGTCTGTCTGTAAATAATATGATCTTGCAGCCGGGCTTCACGTGGTTGGAAAGATAAACATACATCACCGGGTGTAAACACTACAATTTCTAAGACCAGAGAGCTGTTTCCTTGACAACAGCACCGCCTTGTTCAGCACTGAAGGGCAGAAGGCTGGTAAACTGTAGCTTGTTAAACAAGGTTATTATATTGTAAACCAAAGGAAAGCAAATACGTAAAGTGTTGTGAACTTCAATAAAAAGAACCCAGAGACCTCAAGCTGAAACAACAGTCTCAGGCTGTATGTTACATTTTTTTTTTTGTAGCAGCCCTTACATGGAGCAAAATTCTCCAATCTGTCTGTCTATTTTTAATGCTTTCATGGCTTTTTGTGCAGTTCAGCCACACCAACACCAACAATCTGCTGCAGGAGCAGTTTTATTCTGCCCAGTCTGAGCCATACGACAAATTATCTGGTAAATACGCTGAATGCTAAAAGCAGCACTTGGATTCCTCCTCTCCACTCCCCAGCAAGCAGATGTCGTTTAATGGTCTAAAAATATGTATGAATTGCTGCTATTCTTCATAAAAGTGGCGACAGAACTGAGCTGAAATAAGAACAAAACAGACCTGCTGGTTTCTGTCTCTCGAGTTGCCGGCTACATTTAGAAGAAGCTTCTGAGGCTAAATGAGGAGAAAAGTATCGATTGCTCGAGCTCTGAGTCATTATTCAGTCACCACACAGAAACAGACGCACACTCACACTCGGGCCGATGTAAAGCAGATGATAATTGGTGGAGATGCAGGTGGATGAATCCACACAGGGAGTAATTTGTGCTGTGTCTGTGTATGTATATACTGGTGTTAAAGGCGTGCATACTTTATTGGAGGCCTTGTTAGCCCAGATCTGACTGCAGAGGCTCTGATGAGAAGCAGCAGCAGCAGCAGCAGTGATGGTGGTGGTGGGAGGTTCTAGATGGCTGAAAGCAAGAGAGTGCACTCATACTTTGTTGTAATGATTAATTTATAATTCCCCTTTTTTTTCTTTCCTGTGGGATGGCTGGCCTCGTTTTTTTTTTCTCTTTTTTCATTTAATCAGTAATGAAGCTCTGCAATGTGCACCTACAGTGTAATGTTTGCTCCAGGAGTTGAAACAATGGCTGTCAGCCCGGCCGCTTCAATATCTGTGATTGGCCTAATAATAGATGCATCGATACCTGCAGGGCCTTGGCACGCTGCCAGAAATACTGCTGTGGCGGAGAGAAGAGGAGGGAGGAGAAAGAGAGAGAAAGTGGAAGATAGAAACGGTGGAATAAGGGCGAACAGTGGAAGGCACCTTGAGTGTTATAGCCATTCCGGTCTCCTATAGGATGACACATGCTCTGTCAACTGCGCCGCGCACACGTTTCCCAACACATGCAGACACACGGAGGTATGCAGTAGTGAAGCGCCTCATGTCCAGGCTACTGACCTACATATATGGCACCTAAAATAAAGCTTTTTCTGTCTTGCAGGAGGGTCAGTGAGTGCAAACTGTGCTTTAAAAATAGACAGGAGTCATTCTGTTCATTTTTAAAATGCGCTTAAATCTGTTCTGCAGTCTAAGCAGGAAGGTAAATAAAGACATTATGTAACTTGTATTTTTAGAGTTAACCCTAAATAAGTTTAACCCTTAGGAAATTATGAGCAATTACTGAGTTTTCCATGTTAATGGTAATAAAGCAAAAACTAAGTGAAATGGAAGTTCTGCAATAACCTGCTTTGATAAACCTTTGACCCCAGGTAATTTCTGTGACATTTTTACTTACTGTGAGCTCATTTGTTGTCGCAATATAAAGTCCTGCACCTCTATGGAAACAACACAACCTAGGCTAGAAATCAAAAATACCTTTTGTGCCTTATGACAGTTATTCTGCCAAATCATCCATCCATCCATTATCTATACACGGCTTAATCCTCACTGGTCGCGGGAGGGCTGGAGTTTATCCCAGTTGACTCAGGGCGAAGGCAGGGGACACCCTGGACAGGTCGCCAGTCTATCACAGGGCTACACTTAGAGACAGACAACCAAGCACACTCACATTTACACCTATAGACAATTTAGAATCACCAATTAACCTCAGCATGTTTTTGGACCTTGTGGGAGGAAGCCGGAGAACCCGGAGAGAACCCACGCTGCACGGGGAGAACATACAAACTCCACGCAGAAAGATTCCGGTGCCCCCACCGGGATGCGAACCGGCAACCTTCTTGCATGCAGCCCTCTGCTAAATCATACAAATCAAAAACATTTTAACATTTGATTATTCATTTTACAAAAAATGCAAAACATCATGTACAACATTTTTGCAGGTACCTCCAGGTAAATAGCAGGAAAAAAATGTGATTCTACAATACATACTGTACATATCTGACTCCTATCTGCTCTGTGTAAACACAGCCTGCAATTCAGTTGAAAATTATCTAATATTTTCTTTGTGACTGTTACTGAGTTACCAAGAGGAGTGCAGAAACATTTACTCCTACAGAATCTGGTTCCTGCAAATGGTTTACTGTAATTTTTAACTTAGGCATTTTGAATGAAATGATTTTGATGAGACATATCAGTTTTTAGCTGAGATTTTCCCAGTGGAATGGCACGTCACAAATGATTAGTTTAAGGACCACCGAAAAGTTGAAAATCTGACTACTGTGTTTTTATCGTTTCTCGCTATGATAAATGTGATTTTTAATTTTTTTAACTTGTCTTTCAAACCTACCAAGAGGTTTTAGGGATCAGAGAGATAACGCATTGACCTTCTACCTTTAAGTTACAACAGCCACAAAACACAACATCATATGGGACCTTTAGAACATGTTTAGTTTCCTGGATGGATAAAGTTATATTTGCTTTCCTACAAAGAGCTCTCTGCTGTACTGCCATAGAATTCCAATATCTTGTAGGAGAATACATGTATTATTCTGCTTCATCACTTTCAACTCTGAAATAAAGGCATAAATATGTCAACAAACTGTATAGAGCGAATGAGCTTAGAACAATATTGAATTTATATCAGTTTTTGAACTTAAAATATACACAGGAGATGAAGTGTCTGCAGGTATTACTGCGTACAGATGAGCCATCCGTCTCCACTAACATGGTAGAGCAGCCTGCATGTAGCCTCAGAGCCAAACCTGTAGTATGAAATGTTTGCAAAGTCCAGTCACTGCTGCAAAGCTCACTGCTGAACTGAAGGTTCTCAAATCATATTGTAGAATCATATATGAACACACAGAAAAGTATCGTGCCGAACAACAACCAAAGGTAATACCAACATCAGTGTTACCATTCAAGATGCAATAAACCAAGAAGCTCTCTGCCATATACTGGAGCTAAGTTGTGCTTTTATGCATCTCTGCTAAGTGGAGATGCTGCTAATTCTTTAAATGTATGAGGCAGTTTGTTCCATTTTGATAACTTTGTACATTACTTTCTGAGTGAGAATTTTTTAAATTTTATTTTACTTACTTGAGAAACATACAACTCTATGTTTCCACACATACCAAATATTTAAAACTGAATTTTGAGGAAGAGGAAACGTGTATAAAAGGATGCTAAACTTTGATGTAGAGTCATTTTCATAAGAAGCATACGGTATGTATGAGAGAGGAATGAGATTTTTCCATCGTTAAAGCCAAATGTTCAGGGTTCAAACTGCCTCCTATTCCACAGTGCAGAAATTCTTTACTGAAAGGGGGGAATCCTTTGTATGAATTTTCAGATTTTCAATGAATTATTAAAGTGGTTTTAATCTCTGGTTGCTATGCCCATTTGTACCCGTTGGCACACAGAGTTCCCATTAAACCAGGAATCATTAAATCCTGACAAGATAGATTTTAGTGGGTCAACCCCAAGCCTGTGGGGATAACATCTAAAAATGGAACTCTGCTTTTGAATAAGGTATAAGCTCAGGGAAAGTCTTCATGAAAAAGCGACGTTGTAAGCAAGTCGGGATGTGTTCAGGATGTTGGTTTGGGAAGGTTTGCTCCTCCATTGACGACTGTTGTGATTTATTTTGTTTTGCCCAGATTAAAGGATCCTGGTCGGGAAAGAACAGAATCCAGAACCCTTACAGCCACAAGAACATCATCAAGAACTGCTGCGAGGTGCTGTGCGGGCCAACGTACCCGAGGTAAAGTAGCTCTGCTGTGTAGCATGTGGGACTGGTCAATCGATTAGGCTTCAATCTTTTCTGTCTTGTTTTCAGTGTTAAGTTTTATGTCTTCGGCTTTCTTCCTGCTGTCGTCAGTGAGTTCTGTGTCAGCGCCTGTGACAGATTAGACTTTTAGATTTGTCCCCCTCCGTCGCCTCGTTCTGGTGAGTAACGAGCAGGACACAGTTAGTGACTGATTGCCTCGTCTCCCCCTCCAGCGTCTTGGACAGAAGAGGACTGATGCAGGAGGATTCGCCTGTTTCTACAACCTGCACTGCTCCCCCCTCCTCCTCCAGCATCGCAGCGCCACAAACCACGGTGAGCACAGACACAAACGCTGCACCCTCCTCATTCACACACACCAACTCTAAAGTGGATCAAGGCTGCGAAGCACAGAATAATGAATACAGAGCAGACATAAAAGAGAGTTGTAACCAGCTGTATAGAGTGCTGGAGAGAAGAAAGAACGTGTGTGTGAAACGAAGGGCCATTTCTTGCGTTTCCACATACTGTAGTTGCTTGTATCCATTTTTAATCGTCCAACTAAATGAAACTGCTTTTCTAAGAAGCACTAACATCTACGTCATTAGCCATTTGTGCTCAAAGCCAAAGAAATATTTGCACATATTGAACAATGCAGTTCCTAAGTCTTTATCCTCAATGCTACTAACAATAATACAGACATTACAAGTAGTCAGTGTCACATTATTAAGATTTCTGTAGCAGTAATACAAATCTTATTGTGCACATTTATGGATTTGTAATTTTAATTTTTGGGTCTATTACAGTATGTTTGCATGCTTTTCCTGAAACCCCTAAGCAGTTTCTGAGTTGTTGTTTTTTTTGCTTCTCTGACATTTTACCTACTGAAGAAAACAGCACAGCCATAGCTGCAAGCAGAGGGAACTGAGAATTGATTTGTTTTTGTGCCATCAATCATAAAAATTGAAAAAAAAATAAAATAAAAAAAGGCTGAATATCTGTTGTGATTTTTTTGGACAAAGAAACCCCCAAACAATCCTGCCATCAGCATGTACATACTATAGATATTTTAATACTTTGTTTTTTGTTTCCACACTTGCCTCCTGTCTGCTCTGTGCAAACACAACCTGCAATTCGTCCCAGCTCACCTCAAAAGTCCTTGATTTTTTTGTCATGTGACTGTTGGTTGCATCTGGTTTGGTCATGGCATGAAGGAGTGTGGAATCTTTTTTTCGTTTGTTTATTTTTTCACAGTTTATTTTTGCAGAATTTTAAAAATGAGACATGTAGACATATACAGTCGTCCTCAAATGTATTCATACCCTTCCATTAAAAAAAGGGCAAAATTCACAACTCAGATAACTGGAAACTGAAAAGAAGTAATACTAAATAAAAATTTGCTAAATTATAATTTAATGAAATAAGACATTGCTTTTGAATTGAGGTTGAAAAGAATAAATTAAAAAATAAATAAATAAAAATAATAACTGTTCCGGACAAATTAGAGCAATTTGCTGATGAGCAGTGGACCAGAATTGTTCAACAACATATTAGTTCATGGGTCCCATCATGCTTGTTTGTTTGTTTTTTGTTTTTTTAAAAATATATTTCTGTTGAACCACAATTCAAAAGCAATGTCATGATTTTCATTACATTTTTATTTATTCTTACTTTTGTCAATTTCAACTTATTTCTCAGCTGTTTTTTTCCTTCTTTAATGGGAGGTTATGAATACATTTGAGGACGACTGTATTTTGATAATAATAAGCTTTGGTTTGGTTACATTGACCGATATTAGTTCAATGCATAGTCGAGGTCTGTTGTCTGGCTCTGATGAATAGTTTAATTTTGGCAACGTTTTTTAAAAGGAACTTGGCTTTTCAACCTCCTGGCTGGTTGTCTGATTAAAAGTGTTAATAATCAAAACATTATATTTTTCTCATTGTGCATATCTACTTTGATTGGTCGGCTGAGAGGTAGCCTTGGTTACACACCCCAAACCCCAGATAACTGCTTCTGGCTGTAGTAAAAGCAGCTCTAATGAGAAAGTAATGACTAAGTCATTCTTTGTTTGAAGGTGTACCAAACCAGCCACAAGCTAGGTGTTATGCAAATGTCCTACATGGTGATGTAAATACCTCCTGGACTTTAAACAAGGTGTTTCAGGCAGTGTTTTCTTTGAGAGAGTAGCTCTATCTGGCATGGACTTTGGGCTTTGTAGGTGTGCAGAGCTTTGAAAAGCAGATATGTAACACACTAAAGGAAAAGAAGAAAAAAATCCAAAAAGCATAATATAGGCTCTTTAAAGTTTTTAGATTATATGATGATGAAAATCCAGCCATTGTTGCCGTATCCAGAGGTGGAAGTAAAATAGTTTCTTCTTCTTCTTTGGTCAAATTAATGATATAAATAATTAAGTTAATTTTAAACTAGCAAGTTTTACTGCACTTGAAATTGTCTGCATAAATGAGAAGAAGGTTTTGAGCATCGCAAACTGGACGATGAAATGTGTTTTTAAAGCAATTTTTAGTGGCGAAAAAGAAGAACAACTAGAAAGAGAAGGACACTGATATTGTTTTTCAGCTTTATCATTTTGAAAATGGTGCTACTAAACTTGAACTCTATTAAGTCCCTGCTTGAAATGAACAAAAGATTCATTAATTCTTAGAGTAGCTTTTACTTCAAGGACTGGAAAAAGTATTAATCACATTTTTCAGGTTAGCTTTTTTCACTTTAAAGATTTCAGCATTTCTTTTCTTTTCTGTGTCCGTACTGATTTTGGGAAAAAAAACCCAAGGATTCTTCGTCGGAGATATTTGATGACACAGTTTGTTCATCGATCAGCATTCATCAATATTTCAGTCAATCAAAGCTGATCAAAACATCATCACAGCCCAGATTAAGCAGTTTTTGAGTGTTACATTCTTAATACCTCAGCATGTTTTTTTTTTTTTTACTTCCATTGTTGCTTATTTAGTTGTGAAGTCTAAGAAAGAAGAGAAGATTTAAGTCAGGATTTCTGAGGTTTACTGTAAAATCTTATGAACCATGACCTTGTAACACTCATCACCATGCCAAAGGGATTTTTGGCCTGTTCCCATTAAAAATGAATGGCAGTTCACAGTCTATTGATTGGGCCACTTTATCGATTACGTGTGTCTGCACAATTGCTGCCTCATTTTTTTTTTTATTCGTTATTTTAGCTTCATCCAGTGGCTTTTCAAGTCTCTCTTGTTTAATCAGCTTGGCCCAGTCAGATGTCGGTTACAGTCTGACGCAGCAGCACAGTTCAGCTTGTCACAGCTTGTCATGAATTAGCCTTCAGAATTGGATTGAATTTAGTTCCACTTGATTCACTGTAACTGCAGTATTTGAATCGTGAGATGCAGGGAGTGATTCTGTGGTCTGGAGCCATTCAGGGACAAATGATTGTTAAATGCATTTGTTCACGTAAAGCTTCTGATTCCTGTCAGTTTGTCGTCAGTGGCTCTTACTGCTTCTGCATCTTTTCAGCATGCTGTCCTCTGCCTACAGAAAACCACAGCTCCACTCATCCCCAATGAGCACACACCTGACGACGCCAAGCCCAGCATTGCTGCCTCAGCAGAGAAGAGCCCCTCCCCCAAAGAGGAGCTCCCTCCGACTCCGAAGCTCCCGCCCCTGGCTTCACCCGAGACTGATGCAGAGACATCCATCGCCAAGGACAAGACCCATTAGCTGCATTAGGGGGCGGCTCCCGTCAGAGCCGCTCCTCCAGCATCCTGCCTGGTCAGGAACTGAAACATTAATAATCAATGTCTGATTACTGTGCGGGTGACTCAGTTATTCTCCGACTCCCGCCCCTCATTCCCCCATGAAGTGAGGAGTTTCTGCTGCAGCTCCTCCTCTTCCCTCCTCTCCTCACCAGTAGCTGCAGAGCTGTGTGATTGACACTTGAACTCCTGCAGGAGGAGGAGTGATTAAATGGAAAGTCAGCAGCTTCCTGTCTCCTGAACACTGCATGGAAAAGACACGCAGGGGAGAAGCTGCTGGGAGACCTGCAGAAAAACAAACTCTCCGAGTGTTCGACATGCCCACAAGTTCACCTGTGGGCTTGCTCTGATTGTCAATACTACATTTGTTCTTTATTTAAAATTGCATAATGACATTTACTGTGTGAGAGACCAGTTCAAATATACTCCTTGCAAGTGTCTGGCAAAGACAGAAGGCGTCACTTCTGGACTTGTGTAAAACTTCATACTTACGGTCAGTTTCTGTTGTGCATACATTACATGCCCTATGCAAACCACGAGAAGGCTGGACAAGCAGCTTTGTGAAGATTGTGGATGAAAGGGTTTCACCTGTAATCTGTGAGTACACATGATGTCCAGGCAGGAGGAGGACATGCAAATCCTTAGCTGAGAAATCCTAAAGGCTCCTTCCAGGCAAAGTCTACCTTGTATTCTGATACTGCTGCATTCAGTACTGTTGTCACTTAGGTGCATCTTTTTTCTTCTTTTTTTTTCTAAACTGATCTCATCCAGACCGACGCCTGTCCTTCCATTTTTATATAATCAAGGATGTAGTGAGACGTCGGCGTTTTGAAACAGATGAAATTGCTTTACGCACAGTTCAAGTCTTGCATCCAGGTGACGTTTGGCCTCAGTGCGTGTGAGAAAAGGCCTGATGAGCGTAGACACTCGTAATAACAGTGCCTTATTGTAACAGTTGCACCATCTATAGCAGCTGAGGTCCACCAACAGAGAAGCCCTTGGAACCGTTATGATAGTGTTAAATGAGAAATGACGTTTAAAATTCTTCCAGTGGTTCCCAACCTGGTGGTTACGAGATGAATGCAATGGATCTTTAGATGGTTAAAGGGATAGATTAATGTTTTGGGAAACATTTGTTAAATTTCCTGCTCAAACTTGGATGAGCAGATGGATAACACTCTCTTGTCTGCTGGCTGTAAAATATGAAGCTACAGCCAGCAGCTATTTAGCTTTGCATGAAGGCTAGAAACAGGGAAACGGCTGGACTGGCTCAGTCCAAAGGCAGCAATCTGCCTTCCAGGAACACTAAAATGTCCTAAAAAGTACTTTAAAAAAAGATTTTGTATGAATTAAAAAATCAAGATATTGCTTAATTTGTGAGCTTTGTTGGTGCTGCTTGACATTTCAGCAGAACTATCAAACCTTTTTTTCCCATTTTACTGCGAAGCTAAGCTAAAGTGTTGCTGGCTGTAGCTCCGCGTGTTTGACTGTCTACGCGGGATTACGCAAAAACTACCAAACCGATTTTCATGAAACTCGAGTTAACTCTCGGCGACAACGCCAACAAGCATAAAGTATTCCTTTAAAACTAGAGAGAAGTAGAAGAAGCACATTTCTGCAACAAAATACTACACATTTGTGCTTTTTTTCTTATTAAAAAACTGTGAAGTGTCCTCGAGAAGTCAGAAATGTGATCTGAGAAGGCATAATCTCTCTTTGGTTGAAGGAGTCACAGCCGGTAGAAACCTGTGGTGAGTCGACGCTGCTGCGTTTTAAGTTTGTCTCAAAGGTTAGGAACCACTGAAATAAACCTTGTGAAGCAAAAAAAATGAAGCAAAGCCATTATTTAATTGTACATTGTCTCAGCAGGTGTAGGTGCACTGAAAACCTCTCAGATGTTGAGCGAGGATGAAACAAGTGTCATGTGCAGCCGGAGTTAATTATTCAGCCTGTGAGCTTGAAGCGTCTCCTCCTGATCTTCCTCAGAGTCCTCTCTCTTCCTGCAGTCTTCTGCCTCGATAGAAAACGCTCTCATATTCAGCTTTTCTTCTTTTACTTGTCTCTTTGCTGTGACAGAACGCCCACGGCCGAGGCGGCTCCCGCCACAGCCGACCGTGGCAGGCTCATTATCGCAGAGCATAAAGAAAGACGTTCAGTCCCTTTTTCTTTTCACGCGTCTTTAATGTGGCTTGAGAAGTTATTTTGTTTTGTAACAGAGATCGCCTGAGGAAGGGAGGCGTCCACACAAAGAGAAAAACGGGAGAAAGTCGAGTTAATCCTTCGTATTTAAATGACGTTAGCTGATAGAGAGAGTCTGTGCTAGTGACTGTGTTGTATGCAAGACGGAGTTAGTGTTTGTGAAATATACTTGTGTAGAAATTCTAGCATTGCATCAGACTCTGAAATCTGCCCAAGATGACATATTATAAGACTCAGAATTTTCCTCAGAAATATTTCACAATCAGGAGTAGAAAATACACTTTAGGACCCTGGACTGTGGGCAGCTGTGCCACGATTTTTGTGGAGCTGCTTGAAACTCAAGACTGACATCAGACATTCTCAGGCCAAGAAAACTTTCAGCATTAAGTCATCTGTCGAGGATTTGTTTGCTCAGAAAATATTGAAAAGTTGAAAAAAACCCAACGTAATTTACTTCCAGAAATTGGGCAAACGTTTACATTTGAATGCTGGAAGTAGCTAATTCCAAACTAATTCAGTAAAGTAGTTGCCAATCATTTTTGTTAACGTATTAGTCAACTGATCGTCTCAAATCTAGATGAATCCTTTATCTGCGTTCACTTCTCCAGAGGTACCTGACACATCTCTGTCGGAGGAAGTGTGCGGCAGTATTGTTTCTGTGATTACTGAAACGTTACAATTCCAGTATGAAGTACTAAACCCAGAACTTAGTGGGCTTCCACTGTGGAAAGTATTTGAAGACGGTCTGGTGTGTTTGATGCTTTGCGTCGTCATCGTCACCGAGAAGCAAGAATGTATGTCGTTGATGCTCGAGAAAAAAAAAAAAGGGGACGCTTGTGTTTCAAAGTGGATTTTAAAAGGACAGATGAAGTTTAATTTTTAGCTGAAGGTTGGCGACCAAGCTGAGCTCTTGTATTTATGATTCCTGTGTTAAAACCATGGTCAGATCTGAATGCTCTGATCAATCTATTACATTGCATTATGTATACAAATACAGTACTATACCATTGATAGAACGCTTATTTATGTTCACTTTGTTTAGTATCAACACTGTGATTATATGTATTTCATTCAATTTACTTCACTTCTTTTTACATGATCAATGTGTCTGGTAAATAAACAATGTCTTATTATAACTCGTCTTTTTGCTGCTTTAAAACTTTTCATCATGTACAGTTATTTTTTATGTGGATGTTGCAGTGTTTTAGCTCTGTTAGCAGTGTGGCAATGCTAGTCTTTTGCTTGATTTTGACTTTTCTCCACACTAAAATATGTCAACAACTATCTATTAGATTGCCATAAAACAAAAACAAATAACAACCCTTCACTTTTCATGTGGTACCACCATCAAATCACACGACCGAACACCTGCAGAACTTAACTGTACTTCTGTTTAGTGCTACATAGCTACAGTTGTCATGAACAGGAAAATAAGCTGCCGAGACCGAAATGTTTTTTCATACCTTGCTGTAAACATGTTTTTTTCCGATGTAAAGTTGAGAATTTTTAACTTAGGAATCTATTGGGATTGACTCACTTTTGATTGAAGCCTCAAGTGGCCATTCATGGAACTGCAGTTTTTGGCACTTCCTTGTTGGCTTCATTTTTGAGAAGTTGCCGCTTGTCTAATTTAAAACTTAAGTTAAGACCCTGCAAAATTGAACATAGAAAACCCAACAAACCTGAAGATTACCTGTTAGCAAGCATATTTGCAACATTCCTTAAAGTTACATCAGAGGAATCCCACAGCTTGTTATCTTGACACCCTTAACTAAAGGATGATGACCCACTGCTACGCCTCGTCTTCATCATTATTTTGTTGCATTACTATGGAAACTTCTGAGGCCATGTGCATACAAATTAATACAGCTTAAAATTCTCTTTTACCAAGTCAGAGCTGCTTTGTCTTCCACGGTTTCTTGAAGTTATTCCCCTGAGTCTCATAGAAAACACATTGGGCTCTGATGGCATGAGGCTTCAGGGTATCCAAACCCATCACATCTCTGTGAGGTGAATGAATAATTATTATATGTTCATCTGAAAGTTTTCTACTGGTCACCACAGGGAAGCTATGGTGTTTGTTTGCGTGAACGTGTCTGCTTGTAGCTGTTCTCACTCGGCTTCGTTCTGTTTGGTACAAACATGCTCATCCCACCTTCTGTCGGCAGAGCTAAAAGCCTTGAAGTCGAACTAAACCAACAAAACCCACCCAAGTAGACGTAACTCCACACTATGTTTCTGATAGAGGAGCATATTGAGATGGGCCTATACTCCTGGAGGAAAATATTCTTAACTAAAAGCCAAACACATCTCATTTGGACGCTGCGATGTTGTCATGGAAACGATGTGGACTCAGCCTTCGCCATGACAACTGCACAAGCTTCCACTGCTAATGACACATTGCAGAAACCTCTGGAAACAGCTGGTGAGTTATACCCTCAAAACACTCGTTATTAATTATCCAGGGCTCATACGGATTTTAAATTTTTAATCGAATCAGTTCTCTTTTTTTTTATGCTGAAGATAAAACATGTGAAACTGATGCTGCAATAATTAACAAGCTGCATTATTCACATCACACTGAAGTATTTCTTTTATTTAAATTGTATTTACAGCACTTCCTCATTGTAACGTCACTGCTTTATGTGTAAAACAACTGTAATCAAGTTACGTGAAAAATGTGTGGAAATATTTTACATTCTTATGGTTGTAAGAGTACAAGGCATGAAAACACAGGAGACAAGGGCACGCTTTTAAATGCGTAGTTTGTACCATCAAAATCAGACACTTTACACCACACCATATGTGAAACAACAGCAAACCACAACATAATTCAGACAATATGACAACATGTTCATTCAAAACAATGTGACCGGCTTCCTCAACAGTCCAAGCCAACTGTGGAAAATGGAAGTTCATACAGTATTTTTAGTTTGTCAACGGTCCTCTCTCTTACCTTGAAGAGAGATTGAAATGGCCACTGAGAACCAGGAGTCAAAGAGTATTTTTCCGTCACTTCTCAAGAGCCTTCATCCACTGTGAGCTCCTGCAGTTGCTCCTGCACGGCCTCCAGCTGCTCTGTCTGGGTCTCCCCTGGCTCTGTGGGCTCCTGCTCATGATCCTCCGTTCCTTGGTTTGTCTCTTCCTCCGTCTTCGGCTCCTCGCGTCCGTTCTCCAGGTTCTCTGAGCTCTCGAAGCAGCCTGAATCCCTCGGCTCCTTGGCGTCCTCCCCAGATCTGTCCTCCTCTTCTGGCTCCGACTCCTCTTCAGCTGCACGAGGCAAAAAAAAAAAAACACATTTGTCACAGAAAGTCTTAGTGTAATCTTTAAAAAAATAATATAAAAAGTATTCTAGAGTCTGAAAGGTCCTTTCATCCTGTTTAACCTCAAGAGACAGAAACTGTAAATGTTTTCACATTCAACATTCATGGAACAACATTATCATTCAGTTGAAGTCATGCGTCTGTCTAACTGGTGAGTGTACGTCCAACATTTAATCTCTCTCAGCTGTTTTTTGGTGTCTAAAACCTCAAATCTGCAGCTGCTAACTGTGTCTGTCCAATTTTTACAGGTTTTCTCTACAAGTGATTCCTCTCATTATTATTGATGCTTTTTTTTTTTTTTTATCAAACATGTTCATCATAACTTCTTTAAAATCAACCGGAATGTGATAACAAACCATCAATCCTTGAAAAACACACAAACTGTTTTGTATATTTGTGTTTGAGGGCTTATTATGTCTCAAATGATTTCTGGTACAGAGGACACTGACTGATTGAATAGAGATGTTGGTTGTTACCTTCACACTAGGGGGCTCTGTGATATAAACTTTAAATGAAATCTTCACTCTGTTGGGTTTTAATCCACCCCCTGTGGTCTCCTTTGTTAATTATTTGTTAAAAGCATTTTTTAAAACAGTTAGTTTAGTGATAAATTTAACAGTGCAATGATGGTGAGTTCAATGGAAATGTATGTTTTTGTTTTTTTAAATATATATATATAAGAATAAATAGTAAACCTGCAATTTGTTGTTATGTTTTGCAGTAGTTCGGTTTAAAGCTCAAAGTTTGTAGCCTTTCACTGTTACTTTAGTTAGGTTGAGGAATGTTGGATGGACTTCACCTTTAACCTCTTAAGACCCCAGCTGTTGTTTGATATGCATTTTTTTTAGAATGAAAAATAGAAAATATATCAAAAAAAACATATACACATATATATATCCATCCATCCATTATCTATACACCGCTTAATCCTCACTAAGGTCACGGGGGGGCTGGAGTCTATCCCAGCGACTCAGGGAGAAGGCAGGAGACACCCTGGACAGGTCACCAGTCTATCACAGGGTCACACTTAGAGACAGACAACCAAGCACACTCACATTCACACCTACGGACAATTTAGAATCACCAATTAACCTCAACATGTTTTTGGACTGTGGGAGGAAGCCGGAGAACCCGGAGAGAACCCACGCTACACGGGGAGAACATGCAAACTCCACGCAGAAAGATCCTGGGTGTCCTCACCAGGACCGGTGACCTTCTTGCTGTGAGGCCAGGTCTTAAGAGGCTAATCATAATACATACATAGATATTTAATTTGTACTCATAATAGCAGATGGTTTTTAGTAGAGCTAAGATTTAAACAAAAAACAAAACTGTATCCTAATGAGAGAAATACATTTTTAATCCATTAAAACTAGGCAATCAGGTTGTTTTATAGTCTTACAGTGCAGTTTTTTCTTCATGTTAATTTGAGCTCAGCTGCTACATTGACATTTGAGAGAATCAACAAGAGAGCAGACGTCAGGTCAACAAGAATATTACACTGCTGAAGCTGATGCAAATTAAAATCTATAAACTGTCTTTCTGGAGCACAGACGAACCAAGTTGTCAAGATGAAGTAAGATTTCTCAGGAGTGACTGAGCCTGATTGCAAACTGTTAGTGTAATGTGCAGTGAGTGAGCCATAAAATGCACCTAATTACATAGCTGAGACAGAGAACGCTCAGCCTGATACCATCACAGTGGTACAAAGTGACTCTGAGATCACCAACTGTCTTTAATTAGATTTATTTTTTATCCAATGTGGCTCAAATTCAGGATTAGAGTTTATTTTCCTACTACTAGCTGTAGAGCAGCACTGTTATGGGACATTATGGGCTGTGCGGTGTGTAAACCTACAGTCTCTGAGCAGCTCAGTGGTGTTCAGGATCTTGGAGCGCTGCTCTGGGTCGGTGATGTTCAGCTCGTTCAGGTGAGACTCCTTCAGTCCTGCAAAGTCCTCCAGACTCTGGAAACCGTGCATGGACAGCAGAGAACTCAGCTCCTGAAACACAAGAGAGCATAAATGCAACCTTAGACACATCTGAGATCACTTCCTGGACAGTGTTGAGCAGCTCAGCAGACACTCGGTCCTGTTTGTCTCACCGTCAGGCCGATGCTGTCCAGGACTTCCTCCAGGGTTTTTGGTTTGGATTTGGTTCTGTTGGTTTTGCTGTTGCAGCGTGGCCTGCGGGCCGGAGGTTTCTCGTCGGGCAGGAGGTTGACGTAGATGAACTTAAAGGAACCCACTTTGTTGTTGAGCTTCCCGGTCCAGGTGCCCACTGGGGGCTTCTCAATGATTTGGATGATGTCTCCTTTCTGTGAGAGAGACGATGCATGAATGATGAGGTGATTAAGACGGGCTGACAGGAGGAACAGGAGTCTGTATTCATTATCACTTTATATTTAACTCTGAGAGTGTTAAAATTAACACCATCTCAGTGTTTGTACCCATCAGAGTGATGAGCAAACCTCTGTCCAGTCATTCTCAATAATTAGCACTTGTTGAAGTGTTAAAAATGGAAAATGTCACCATTTTAACAGTCTTGTCTTATTGTATATGACTGTATAATTTGACCTGCAGTGGCTGAAATGATGTTGCTTTATCAAACAGGCAGTTGGTAATGGGCCTTGTAGATTAAACTCTGCCTTCAAGGATGATAAGCAAAGCAGCCCGTCTTGTTTCACACGGTTAACAAGCTCCCTGGAGGACGGCCTGTCGAGACAACAGACGAGGCCGAGGGCCAACAATGGATAGCGAGGAGGACTCCCCCCCCAAGACTCACTTGGAGCTTCAGTGACTCCACATCGTAGGGGCTGGGAGTGAAGTCGGTGTGGACCAGAGCGCGACCACAGAAGGGTCCGTTGTAAGGGACGCCATTCTCCTCCAGCCTCATGCTGTCCCTCTGGCAGTAACCGCTGTCCAAACTCTGTCGGTCGCTGCCTGAGGAGGATCAGAAGGCAGGGTCAGAAAGCTCGCTTACACTCAGCAACATACTGTAACCATCTCTATATGGAACCAGGAATACAATAATCATGCTGATGGGACACTCCGAGTCTTTACACAGTCAAAAATATCTTTTTTTTTTTCATGCTGCACTTTCTTTCTAAATAGATGGATTTTGTCACTCCTGTTATTTCTTTGACTTCAGATGGAACAGCCAGTCGAGCATCTTGAGTCCTATTTTGTGGCTTTTTTAAAAAACAAAACAAAACAAAAAACAACAATATGCCAAATTAACACCATTATTTATTATTGTAAGTATATTTAATTAACTATAAGCACAATAAGGAGTTCCAAGTATCATTCTGATCCTGAGGAAAGCTACAAAATGTAATGATTCTCTGGCAAATTTTCTACAAAGTTCACAACGATAGATTTAACCCTTCCATACTATTGTGGGTCAAATTTGACCCGTTTTGACATTTGACAGCAGTAAAAATACCCTAAACATTCTTCTTTTAGCCTGAAATTTTCCTAAAGTGACCTAAAACACACAAAAATTAAAACATTTAAAAACTTTGATACGTGTGCTACAAACTTGTGTACACTGAGGCTACTTCGGGTCAAATTTGACCTATGTAGCCATTGAGATGTATTTTAATTCTACCAGTGTGGGTCAAATCAAGGAAAATGGAGGTTTTGGGGAATGTTGAAACTGTAAAACTGTACAGGCCATGCTTTATGCGTATTTTTATTTACATTTATTAGTGTTACACAGGCTATTCTAAATGGCTCTGTAGTTTAAAATTTGATATAGACATTTACTATGAGGACATTCTTCACAGGAATTCTTCACAATATGATCCAGGTCCAAACTGACCTGTACCATACTGTGAAGGCATCAAATATAAAAAGTATGGTCAGAACTAAACTAGATATGTTTCAACTGTTGGATGTGTAAATGTATCTCTTGTACAAAGTTATTTATAATTTAAGGCTATTTTTAAACATACAAACAAATAACCAAACAGCCACATCAAACCAGTCAGCTTCCTTTACTCGAGTAGAAAACCTGAACCGTTCTACGTTTATTTTACTGGGATGATTCAGTGAAGAGTTCCCCTGTTTTGTAAAGTTATAAGCAAACCACAGATAATGACCCAAGTTTCCTCTTTTTGTCAGCAGGTGTCAATGAGTGTTGCCATGGAAACACAGGCCTTTTGCTTTAAGTGACCATTGCAGTTCGGTGGCGAATTTGTGTGAAGCTGTTTAACTTGCATGAAACTATGGTTTACAGACGCTCACTTACTGCCAGACAGCTGGCGGCTGACGGGGCTGGGCATGGTGTCCTCGGAGCCTGTGGAGCACACAGACGTCCGCTGTCCTGCACTCAGGTCTGGAAGCCATTCGCAGGTGGGAGACAACTCCTCACCACTCTCCCCCTGGAGACACAGAGAGGACAGCAGTGCAGGTCAGAGGTCAATTCATGTTCAGTTCATTTAACTATCATATTGTGAAACTGAAATGAAAAATAATTAAAACTGAGAAAAACAGACAAATCAAAAATATAACTAACATGAACCTAATTCCCCTCCTTCTTTTGTTTTTCTTTACCAGCTGCCATCATGTTTGTTTTTACACCCGAATAGCATTTATTGTTGTATTCATTTACACTTCTGACCTGTCTGACAATCTTTTTACTTCATTTTCAGTGAAGTCATTTAACTCTGCAAAGTAATAGTTCTTAAAACAGCGTCATGAGTCAATATGAGCGACAGATCGAGGAACCTCAAGAACACCAGGACCTTCCTAAACTAGAACCAATTCTGGTTTTGAAGTTTTGTCATTTTAGAGCACTAAAGAACAGCGATGTGCAGGAGGTCCTCAAGTTTTTTACATTAGTAAATGTCAGCAAACCAGTAAAAACACTTGATTATAAGTAAAAGAAAATTGCACTAAAATGATCAAAATCATCAATGCAAAGTGATTTGTCCCTGTGAGTCCAAAACTTTTATATATTATTATTACTTTGAGTTTCTTGAAAAGCGCTATACAAATAAAATGAATTATTGTTATTATTATTATTATTATTATTATTATTATTATTAGTATTATTATTATTATTATTATTATTATTATTATGCTGACGTATTATTGTTTATGTTACGCCTTACTTGGTTGAGTATCAATACTATTAAGTGCAATAATTCCCTCTTAAATATGGGGGTGTAGAAATGTAAAGTGGCATCAAATGGAAATGTACTACAATTTGTACTTGAGTAAATGCACTTACTTGGACACTCAGTTACTAAAAATCTACCCCCTTTTTTTATAAAGTGCAGTGCATATATTTGTCCACAAGGTGGAGACAGTTTCAACTGTTTGCAACAACAGCAGCTCCTTGTTTCAGGGATACAACTGATAGTGTTTTCGTCTTTCAGCCAGATCCCTGTAGCTTATGTGAAACTTAAACCGTCTTTACCCCTTCTTCTGCTAGAGCCTTCTGCACCATCTTGGATGTTTTGCGGGTCATCGTACGTGAGATGACGTTGCGCCATTTCTTTCCCAGCTTGCTGCCACTTTTCACTGCTTCTTCTGCCGTCACACCATCTGCCACCTGAGACGAGAGAGAGAGAGAAAAGCAATTTCAACACTATCTGTTATCAGGAGATGAGAGGACATATGATACGATGTTATTTTACAGCCAGTGAAGTGCAGTAAAGCTTCTGAGTGTTTTAAAAATGCCAATGACATATATTCGCTCTCACAGTCAAGTTACGCAATTATTCAGCAAGTAGAAAACCTACAGCGTTTGTGGTAATGGGGTTTGCATACACACATGCTGCTGATGCCCACAAAGTCGCTCTCTCACACACACACAGACACACACACACACAAACACACACACACAGACACACACCTGCACTCTGTTGTGGCCAGAAAGCACAGTTTCTCAGGGTGTTGTGCTGTTTTCATCCGTGAGCTTGTTAATGAAAGCTAATGATGTTTTCAGTGTTTTTATGAGGCAGTTAGTTACAGCAGAAAGAGCCAGGAGAGTTTATTAGACTTTTTAATCATCATCCCGCAGCTGCTTTATTCTTGTGTGACTTTCAAACAATGCTTAAAATATGTTTTGGAGCTTTTCATGCACTCGTGCTTCACCGGATTTAAACTTTCCTCAATCTAAAATGAATGCAGAACGTAAAAACACACAGCAACCACAGTGACAAGGCCAGAGCTGCCGCAGAGACAGACGGTTGAACTCTCAGCATAGAGTCTGACGTCCGAGTGAATGCGTGGAAATTAAAATGGATAACTCAGAAATTGAAATGCATGAATTCTCTGGGGGAGGACTCCTGGTTAGATGCTCGCTGCTCTTTCACTCTGTCTGACGCTGAGGCTCTCTGCTCGACTAGTTTGCACCAGAGGACATCCTGTCTGCACGCTGCTGTCATCTGAGCTCTGTGTAATGCTTCTCGTTCTTACTTCCTCTCTGCTTCTTCGCTCATTTGTCCTCCAACTTCCACTCAGCGCACAGTCCGCTGCTGGGAAGTGATGAATATGTTCTGTGAATTTAAAAAGCGTTAACATCTGCTCACGCGTGCAGCAGTGTGTTAAATCAGGAAGCACAAAGCGGGCACTTCTGTAACAGCCATAACTGATGGCAGCCTCTGCTTGGCCTCTACTGGATGCAGCGTCATTTAGAGGCCACATGTGATGGTCACAGTATGACCAAGGAGGAACAATGTGATAACAGAACTGCTGGGAAGTGTCATTAAGGAACTTTATAGACAAAGACTGCACGAAAAAAATCAACTTCTACTTTTCCAAAACGTGATATTGTGCACGTTCTGCTTGTTTTGTGTGAGTTTGCATTAGGAACAACTTACATTCTCCTCCAAAGTAAACTCCTTCTCTGACACAACAGGAGAGGTGGGTTTGTGCTTCATGAAATCCTTGAAGCTGCTGGACCTCTGCAGGGTGAGCTGTGAGCACATCAGGAAATGTAAAAAAGCACAAAGTGGAAAAGCACAGAACGACAAACACCGGGTTAAACAGACCTCAAACACAACAAAAAGGCATCACCAGAAAAGCTTTAGAAACACGTCGGTCAGTTGTTTGGTGGTTTTTTGTGCAACGCTGATAACGCTGATCTCATGGCTGTGCACACACACAGTCTGATCTTATCTCTTCAAATGTGTGAAAACAATGAAGCTGCAGAGGGATTTCTTAGAAGAAATGACTGGCCTTTTCGCCTTACGCACGTATTAAAGATAAAAACGTGAATGTAGGTCATTAAATGTCTGCAAATGGTGCCGTGGCTGCCTCTGAACAGGAAACCTAAAGGAAATGATGTGTGGTGATTCACGAGAAATTCATAAAACTGCATTTTAAACTCACCATCAAGATGTGTCAACAGAAAACCAAAAGGCCCAAAGTGTAAATTAATACAAAACAAATTCATTCTTCAGGATTAACTCAGTTTCAGCACATTTCTAATGTGGATGTGTTAAAATGACAGGTTAGAATAAAGTTCTCTATAGTCTAGCATGGTTTTTTCATTAGTTTAGATTAGTTTTTGTAAAATTTTTATTTTTTTTTAACTCATCACTTGGTCACTAAAATATCAGAAAATAGTGATTTTTTTCCCTCATTGCTCACAATGAAGTCGTGTCAACCAGCTGTTTCTAAATCCTAACAACTAAAGCAAAACTGACAAATTTTGCAGCACTTAAACAATAATCAGTAATAACTAAACGTTTGGTTCATCCGCTAATCAAATAAAAGACTGATTCTTTTAGGTTTAGTCTGGTGTATAACATGTCATTTGCATATTCTAAAAATAAAGACTTTTTTTTTCAACTACAGAACGAAAAATGTGGCTTTTTTGCATTATTTTCCACATCTAGAGTTTCATGCCGCTGTTATGGAAATTCTTCGTCTAATTTTCCACATAACCACGTCACTGCAAAAATCTTATCGCGACTCATCCTTCTCTCTTTGCTGAAACCACAGGAAACGGGCAAAGCTTTAGCAACTGCTGGCAGCCAATCATTGCAGTGCAGACATCCAGTAACTGATGCTGTGCGTCGAAACCTGAAGAATTTAACCACCAAGAGAACAAGTCACCTTTAATACATCAGTTTCTGCTGGTGAACGTTTGTTTTCTCCAGCAACAGCTCTCATTTCACGGCCACACGGCTTTCAAAAAATATCCATCCTGTATGAACGCAGCGACAGAGATGTTCTCCGGCCTCGTTTACTGCCGGTGACACTGATGTGTTCGAAGATGATTGCAAAGAACAAAGGCAATGAGATGTGTAATGACGAGGCGTAAATTAGACCACAGGGGAGATGTGGATAGAAAATAAGGGCACTGGTGTTGAAGAGTGTGGGAGGCTCGTTCTCAGTGTGGCAGCTGGAGACGAAGACAGCAGAAGCCGCAAAGCCTGTCTGACTCAAACTACATCTGCAGCAATGATTCACCCTGTCAGAATAGAGGAACTTTACTTTTCTAAAATAGGTTTTGGCCAGAGGTAGTTTGAAAACTTAGAAAATCTTCTGTTTTAGACAGAAACATGTTACCGAGCTCTAGGTTTTTGTCTGTGTGTTTGTGTCTTCATGTGTGCGGGTTTGCTTGGCTTCACCGGAAAGGTTTGCGCTCTGAGCTGACATCCTGTGTTGTAAAGATGTACACACAAAGACAGCTGTACACGATGTTGTAAAGGAAACAAGTGTGCGGTCCCATCTCTTCACAACACAACAGGAGTCGATAAGTTTTACAGACATAAAAAGCTCAATTTGTGCACAGCAGCTTCATCCTTTTCACACCTTCCAGAGCAAAGTAATAGCCAAAGACTCTGCTCACCTTCTTCTTCTGGTGCCCCTGCTCCTTCTCCGAGGCATTTGAGGGCCTTCGCCTCAACATCTTCTTTCTCAGTGATCCTGGGATCAATCTGGACAAAAAGCTGTGGATAAAGCTGCACCGGTTATAGTCACAGAGGATCTCTGTCACTGTGCTGTCACAGCCAAAGTCAGTTAAAAAAAACTGAGGCAGGCTGAGGTGCTCTCCGCTGCAGCCGAATGAAGTGCAGAAGCCAGGAAGTCACATGGCCACGCTGAAACTGAAAAGACAAACCCTGTTTCTGGTGCTCAGGACTGCATAGAGGTTGACGGGTTTGCTACATGTATTACTCATAATTGCGTGCTACGAGCTCTCTGTGCTAAAAACTGAAGTGATACACAAAAGCAGTTCAGAAAGACCTCCTTACGGTTTTGTTTTGAGTAAGATATTTAAATAGAAAGTGAACACAAGTAACTTTAAAAAAGTAATCAGCCTCTAGTTGTCAAATTCAACATGTTTTTTTCAGATTAAAGCTCTGTGGAGGATCATCAGTTGTTTTAGAAACATGTCATCTCTTGCTGCAGCTGTAATTAAGAGCGAGGACACATCCTGCTGCCACTGTGTCACAACACGTTACTCCTACAGAGCTTTTTTCTTTAACTTCAGCAGAATGTTGGAGTGGATTTGCTGGCAGGAAACACCTCCATCATGTAACTAAACATCTGTGTTGTCAGCCAGCTCTGTGCGTTCATGATGACAAGTGATAGTTCTCGATTTTTCAGGTGGTAGTTGTTGTAGCTATATATTTGTAATGGCCACTGAAGTGTGGAAGTGAAAGACTCTATAGACAACATATGTTAAAACTTTGCAGCAGCTGCAGCAGACGTGTGCTGCAGCTGCAGGAGGCAGAATCACAAACCGGTGGTCCAACTCACCCAGCTGGAGATATTTACACAGAAACTAGTTCATGAGACCACTGAGCTGCAATGCCAGTCACAGGCTAACACAGTAAAAACCTCCAACAACAGACAGTTCAGGCATAAACAAGTCGAGTGACTCACAAGAAATGTGCGTGCTTTTGAATGTACACTCAGCCTGTAGGACAAGGCCAACGCTGGGGCTAAATGCAGAGAGGGAAGTACAATGTAAGTCAAGTTTAACTTGTTATTTTGGCGAGGAGCAAACCACATGATAAGAAGATGCCCTATTTTAGTTTCCTGTCACTAGACTACAGGTTGGCAACCAGCAGATCTGTCTGAAGATCTTAAAGGGACGAAAACAATAAGCAACAGCTGGGAAGAAACCTGAATACTAAGAAGCAGAGGAGGAAAAAATCTTCAGACCCTTTAATCAAGTGAATACCACGGTGTAGAAATATCAAAATAAAAGTATCGCATTCTTACTGAAGTAGAAGGACAAGTATTTTTTTTTCCAAATATACAGTATCAATTGCACTTTTTCACGGTTTCCTCTGCACGTGCCCGTTCTGCGCTGCTCTGTGTATGTTCAACATCGTCTTCCTCCGACTGAATGAGCAGAGCTGAACTTTTCTGCACCATAAATATTGCACATGCCTTTATATAATTGTTTTTGTGTGTGTACATACCCTTTTTCACTGTTCTCTGTTTCTTACATTAGTAAGACGGGAGTGATGAGTATGTCTGAATAAATGTGTTCTGTAAATAGGTTAACAGGTTAATAGGTTATCGTTGCATATGACCACAAAGCCTTTGAATCCACCGAGTATTATTAATAAAATGTACTTTAAGTGTTAAAGGTTTAAGTATTCTTCAAGTGTAATGAACCTTTTGAGAATAAAATATAATTAAACAAGAAAATTGATTATTATTCCATTACACCTGATGCATTAAAGGTATAATATGTAACATGTCCACATTGAACATTGAACGGTCTAAAAACAGCTAAACCAGTGTTATTCATGTATTTTATTGTCTTGGCTACTTACAAAACTTCCCCAAAATGTTCAACCCCCAACTATCTTCAATGTTGCCATGCGTTTTATTTTGGCCACCTGATGTCAACAATGGTGTCACAATATCCACTGTAGCTGGGAAACACCCTAAACACTGGACAATACTGATGTTCATTTCATTTTATTGTTTGTCTTGCTCAGTCGTGATGATGCATTCATTATAATTATTGTTCTGCCTGGCGATAACAGAACTGGGCTGTCCAATGATTTAATTCACCACATAATGTTAGCTACAGAAATCTCTTTTGACCGAATCATCTCATGGTATGTTTGCAAATAGCATTACTCTAGCTAATTGGTTATTTAACTAATTTGCAGCTATTTTATCAGAATAAATCGACACAATGTGACTAAACATAATGTGACCACAACTCTAATGCGTTTTCTTGACCCTGAACATGATTTCAGCCAGTCACATCAGATGACTTTTTATTATCAATAATAGTAAAAACAACAACTCCCATGATCCCGTTCTTCTTCATGACATCATCAAACTCTGTCTTTTGTTATTGTTTATTGTTAAATGTACAAATTAGACTTGATTTGTAATCGTTCATATATTGTTTATTTAAATTTAAGGCCATGAACGATTTTTTTTAAATACAAATTTTTAATCTTTATCTGCAAAGTAACTAGAAAATGTAGCTGCCAGATACATGTTGTGTAGTAAAAGTTCAATAACGTATAAAATGTAGTACACTAGACAAACAGGGTGACAGAAAACATGCTGAAAGGTGTTTGTTTATTCGATTTGTGATGCTCACACCAGACAATAAGACTGCTAGCGAAGTAACATGGATGTAAACAATACAGGATGAAAAAAAAGTTATATTATTATTTGTATTAATAAAATTTAATTTGGAGTTCCCTTAATTATATGAGTTACTTTGCACTGCTGCTAGAAGGATACAGATAACTGGAAGTTACAAACATCTTCTATGACTACATGTGAATGTTTAAGAGTTACAACATAAGTACAAGAGACTTTGTTCACAGAGAGCAATGATCTCATACTTGTCGTTCCTCTTTTCTGAAGCTCTTCACCGCAAACATGGACATGGAGGAAAACGCCTTTTCTGTGAGCTGTTCTACTTTCTCTTCAAAAGATTTCTTTGTGTGCTTTTCGGTGCTGCCCGTGCTTAAGTGTGCAGATGCAGGGTGTGGAGAGCTTCACACCTTCAAGACGGAGTAGTTGCCAAGCAACCAGCCGCCTCCAGACTGGAGCTGCTCAAAGCTGCTGAATGATGAATCCAATTATCTGAAGCTGCAGGTGGAGTTTAATTATGATTTGTTTGTTAAATGTAGTCATTTTATTGTTGTCGGAAACAGACAGCTGTGATGAATTCAAAACATAAACGAAATGAAATGGAGTGGGTGACTTCTGCTGACATCAGGATAACTGAACAGCTGGGCATCAGTCTGTGAAAAAGAGCTAACATGGCAAGAGATTTGGAAAAACAGGGTTTCAGTTCTATGCTGATTGTGCCACTCATTTGTTCCATGTTTGCAAAGTTAACGACATGAAGGAAGTGAGTTCAGCATTTTGAGAAATATATTTGCTTTTTTTTGCATTCAGAGCCTTGTAGGTTCCCTAGAAAACCTCCAGGAATGTGCACAGCTCCCTAACAAAGACGGAAGCTTTTATATATAAATAAACATCCGTCACAGTGAAGGCCAAAGAGTTCACACTGTGCTGGTGCATCTGTTTGTATTTCACAGTAAACCAGAGTTTTAAATCTGATGTCTGTGGTAACAGATACACACTGGGCCACTGCTCACAATGCAGTATGCAACCAGTGAGGATTGGGTTGCCAGATCAGAGGAGGGAAGCCTCCAAAGTCATGGAGATGGAGTAGACTAACATCAGCTAAAACTATAGCAGAAAAACATAAAAAAGAAAAGTTTAAAGAGTCAAACTGCAGTTCTAACAAGATGTACAGCTTAAAAACCAACCAGTTGGGATTTATCCTTCCAAGTGTTTTTCTCTTGTAAAAGTAAATATACTTTTTGAAAACACTTTTTGTAAAGTGTAAGAGTGTGTGTAACTTGTGGAAGTGAGTTTTCCAGTGCAGTGTCTTCGGTCATAGTGGATCGTTTTCCACCAGTGGCAACATGAGGTTGTTTCCACACTTGCAAAGAAACTTCAACAAGCGACCATAAGGTGAGTTTTATGCTTCAAGTGTTTTCAAACTGATTTTTTTTTTGGTTTTACAGAAGACAGTGTCACAAACTGGGGCTGCAAGGTGGAGCAGTGGTTAACAAAGTTGCCTCGCAGCAAGAGATTGGTTAGGATGCCTGTGTGGAGTTTGCATGTTCTCCCCGTGCAGCGTGGGTTCTCTCCAGGTTCTCCAGCTTCCTCCCACACAGTCCAAAAACATGTTGAGGTTAACTGGTGATTCTAAATTGTCCGTAGGTGTGAATGTGAGTGTGCTTGGTTGTCTGTCTCTAAGTGTAGCCCTGTGATGGACTGGTGACCTGTCCAGGGTGTCCCCTGTCTTCGCCCTAAGTCAGCTGGGATAGGCTCCAGCCCCCCGCGACCCTAGTGAGGATTAAGCGGTGTGTAGATAATGGATGGATGGATGAACAGTCACAAACTGGGCTTCAACTCACTGCCAACACTTAAAACTAACTCCTTTATTGTCTTGAAAACTGTTCCCCAACATGTTGGTACCATGTGCTTTAAACATGCTCACAAATGGAGAAATCTGTCATTTGTTGCACTGAAATGCAGGAGTCCTCATACGGACAACGTTTTTTTCCAAACAGGGTTTACTAGTGGGGGGAGCATTATAAGCACAGTGAAAACAGATGTCTGTATGTTTACAACAAGCTTTGTTTGATTGTTTTTGTAAATTCATTAAAGAATAGTAATGATTTATAAAACTGGTTTTGGATTGTATCTATCAGAGCAGATGTCACTGGTTGTCACTTTCTCGGTGGTTGGTCAGTCTTCATTACAGCCTCATGCTAAAATTGTCTGCAGCTCTCTATGTAGAGCAGAATGTCATTTTTATTAGGGTTTAAATGAGACTTTTATTTATTCGAATGATCATATATCATTTTAATGTCAACTATGAAAGAGAAAGGCCAAATAATTTTGTTGATTTTACACCATAACTCCATTACTAATTGTCAAAATGACATCTGATCTTGGTTGAAACCGTTTATTAATCAACTGTAACCTTTAATTAATTGCAAACAAAAACAAAGGCAAAAAATCAACAAAAACATAAACAAAACCAAAATTAAGCTTTCCTGCACCAAGAAAGCATTATTACCCTGAAATGAAATATGCTTTAAAAAAACTTAACACAATCGAAACTAACTGATGACCTCTGCTTTAGAGAATTAGAAATATATATAAAAAAAGAAGTGCTGACCAAATATTCTCATGTGAGTTGTGCTCTATATGCAGACCTCAAGTTTTGCTTTGGTATCAGTTATCTAAAAATAAATGGTCACAGTTGTTAGTTTAGGTCTACAAGTAGGTCTGCTCATATGCAGAGCAAATACTATGGAAAAAAAAGATCAGTCCATCATGTTTATTAGTATAATCGGGAAACTCAGTGTCATAATAGTAAACATTTATATGTGTTATCTCTTCTAGATGAAAAACCATAAAATGAGAGCTTTTGCATGTCTTTGACCACAGACAAGTGGAAACGAGAAAACTAGTTTTAAAAACCTGAAAAGGACTTGAGGTCATCATGTTTCCGTTTGTTTCAGTAGAAAATTACCATTTCCACTGAAAGTGTGACGCATGCAATCGCAATATATCTGCTGACTAATTAATGCGATGCTGTGGTTCAGGACTGCAGCAGGAACAATACCACAGCAGAAGAACACATCTGTAGTTGGATCGACTTAATTAAAAGCCAGCAAGTCCTTCCTGCTCTGACTGTTCCCTTCAGCCTGTATTACATTCATTATATTCATTATATTTTATAATATGTTGTTATTTATTCATATTTATTCAGATTTGTAGTTTGAGCTTGTGGGAAACATGCTGGTCGACTGGACCTGTTTGCTTCGCTCATGTGAATTCCAGCCAGAGAGAGTCTGGATGCACTTCATGAGTTTCAATCCAGTTGTTCTGTTTAGTGAAGCTGGACAATGAAAATCTAACCTGGAAACGCTGAATGTGCGTTATTGTACACAATAAATGAATGAATGTGTCACGTCACTTTGTAATTGGTTGGTGGGAGTGTCCATTTACAAAAAGTGGCCTAAATATGTCAATCTATTTTCTATCTTTTTCTATTTTAAAACCCATCAATAGTGCAGCAGAAAACTGCCCAATTTGTCATCAGAGTCCAAAACTCTCCATTGGTTGCCTGGCAACCAAGTCTCTAGTTAAGATTAGCTGGCTGGCAAGAAGAGCGTTGACGTTAGCCTCAACTTAGGTGTTGAAGGAGGGTAGAAGGTGCAGTGTCTCTACTTGAGGTATTTTGCACATTTAATTCCATTTAGATTTATCTGAGGCTACTGTTCAAACTGAAGCTACAGGTGAAAACATGGATATTTAATTAGTCTGCTGGTGTCTATCTATCTATCTATCTATCTATCTATCTATCTATCTATCTATCTATCTATCTATCTATCTATCTATCTATCTTTTTTTCAAGTCAGAAATCATCCGGTTCATGACTCATCACCTTAGTTTGAAAGAGTGTTACTTTAATAAAATAGAAATTATATCAGCTGGTCATATACATGTCCAATTTAAAAACTGAAAAGCAAAAAAACAATAACAAATCACAGAAAAATCAATCATTGTAAACTCTGAACACCACAACATCATACTTTTATTCACATAATTAAATTATTAAATATATCTTTGAATTAAAAAAACGCTAAATTGCAGTGCATCTGTCAACCTGGGATAGCTGCTCGATAGAGACTGCATAGGGGTAACATCGGTGTGCAAGTCTGCTGTGAGTGCTGGAGATGCTCAGGCAAGGTTGTGGAGCAGAGCGATGGCCAGAGCGACGAGGCTCAGCGAGGAGGAACAGACGGAGGCGGAGGAGAAAGGCTCCGTGTGTTTGAGCATCCAGTCTTTTTCCTCTTTTAGCTTCTGCTTGTCCAGCTCAGGACCCAGCACCTTCCTGATTGTCGAGTAGTAATTATTCAACCACTGAAGCTGGAGAGAGAAAACCACCGTTACTGAAACTCATTAGCATGTTTTAAGAATGCACAATGTTGTAGAATCGAATGACTTAGTTTAATATTCCAGCTAAATTGGATGAGCTCGATCCCAAACAGGAGTACAAACATGCACAAGAATCCACAGGTGTGTTCATATCATGTCTTCTTGATCTAAGGTGGTATAATGGTCAGCTTGGCTTCTCTTTTTAAGACATAAGCTCCCCTGAAAATAGGTTTTGCAAAGTTTGGAGGGGGTCTAATACATCGACAGAATCCTGGTTTTGCCATGCTCTTCTATTTTGTTTGTATCATTATCATCATTATGGATCATGTGTAAAATTAAGATAATATTAACATAGTATTCATGTATAAGGGCAGTTTATTCAGTTGAATGAAGATAGTGGCATACATGCAACTCTTGCCATCAAAACCTTTACCATTCAAACATGATAAGAAGATCAGTAAAAAAAAATGATGCCAACCATAGCCTGTGTATTAAAGATGCATGTAGCAACCCTGATATCAATCCAGTGTTTTGTGGGACTTCTGCTTTGAAGCCTCAAATTCAGAATTTGGTCGTCACCATCCTGGTCTTTTGAAACCAGACGTGACAAATAAGCGAGACAGCTGGCTGGAGAACACGACTTCAAACCTGCTTTATCATCTGTTTTACTCTAAATGGAACCGTTGTATTAAAAGAGTCTCATAAGTAGGATGTGAGACCATAAACTACTTGTAAAATGTACACGGAGGTAACAAATCAACTGGGTAGAATGATTTTCTCATAGACTTCTGCACAGCCTGGCTTCTTGTTTCAACCAGTAAAGTTGCCCCCTGCTGGCTGTTAAATGCTGAATGTAGGTTTAAGGTGCTTCCACATTTGCTTCACTTTTCTGCCCCAAATCTTTTAAATACAGTCAGCTGCTGCAAAACAAAAAAAGAAGACGCTAAAAGACGAGCAGCAATGGCTACTTTACTTCTATTTTCTTATTCTTATGATTCATGCTCTTATTAACAGTAATTGTGATAAATAAAAGCAAACTCAAAGGCTTTATAAATGATGTATCATCGTTTCTGAGCATAAAAACAGATAGAAAAGTAAGCTACCCCAAAATGGTGTAGTTTCTGGACTGATCTAATTTACCATGTTCACTATCTTTGTTTGGTGTGATACTAGACTAATATGTAAAAAAGTACAGCCGACACTTTGGCAGAATCGTTAACTTCTGCACAAACAACATATCAATATTTTGGCCAGGTGGTGGCGCTAGAAACAATAAATGGACTGAAACTGTTCCTCGACCACATTTCCATCAACAGAGTCACCACTAACATGGATAATAACTTAAAAAAACAAACAAACTCCACACTAAACTGAGATTAAAAATGATGATATAAACATATAAACAATGGAATTCAAACTGCACCTCAATCTAATCACAAATTATTATTATTATTATTTTTGCTTTTTAAAAGTTTGTATTTTGTAAAAACACTGTTCATTTCAATAAAGTGATACTTCAAGTCAGTTGCATTTTCTCTTCAGATGAGACCAACCAAAACACAGAAGTTAATTTCACACGTGGTTTTGTTTTCTCTCAGACTGTTGTGATCTCTGGACTGCAGAGAAGTGTGAACTTCAAGTGTAAAGGGGGATTTTAAGAGGAAACCAGCACTCACGTAGCGGGGGAAAAAAAGACCTGGCTGATTTCACACTTTCGTATACCCAAAGGTATTCACAAAGTATAACAGGAAACCGATAGCACAGCTTTAGGGAAGTTAACCCACATTACACGTTTGTGCAGGGCATTTCTTTAACGTGTCAGCTCTTTGAAATTTCTCTTTTAGTAAACATGAGTTCTTGTATAATAAGGAAAGTGATTGTGAAGTGCATCCAGATACCATGTCTTACCTGTTCTGAGCTGAGGAGGGTCGTGTTAATCAGCTTTCTGTCATATGGAACCAGTGACACCGTGTCAAAGGTCAGGTAGTTGTGTCCATACTGAGGGAAAGAAAAGAAAAAATCTTTACTGTATTTTTCATTGGCCATTAAAATCCGTGACATCTTTGACCTATTTATTTGATAAAGTGATTTTTTGATCCTACCTTTGTGTTCACCGGTACGACTACAACAATATCTTCAATCCGGATCCCAAAGTCATTGTCCTTATAATATCCAGGCTCTGTGAGAGAAACTCTGTCAGTTTGGTAAATTTCTGCATTCTAGCATTTGAGATATGGAATGCAAAGTTACAGCGCCCTCCATGATTATTGGCATCCCTGGTTAAGATGTGTTAAAAGCCTTAAAATAAATTCAGTTTTTATTGCAGAAGCATACTCTCACACTGAAAATTGTAGAAAAATGTAACCTTCAATTCAACTCAAATGAATTATTGGCAAAAGGGGGTTGTAAAAAATATTAACATCAAGAGTGCTAATAATTGTGGCACACATGATTTGATGTAAAAGAATTATTTTTTAATGTGGGATTTTTTTCACACTGAATAAATTTCTCTTTTTTCATTGTGGTCCTATATTATTTAGAAAAAAACTGAATTTACTAGAAGCTAAAGAACACATCTTAACCAGGGGTGCCAATAATTATGGAGGGTGCTGTAATTTATCCAAACTCTCTGAGGTTTACTGCTTTTGTTCTACCAGTTCTTTTTACTCTATACAGTCATCCTCAAATTTATTCATACCCTCCCATTAAAGAAGCTGTCACTGAAATAAGTTGAAATTGACAAAAGTAATAATAAATAAAACTGTAATGAAAATGGGGCTGGAAGGTGGTGCAGGTGGTTAGCACTGTTGCCTCGCAGCAAGAAGACTGCCAGTTCGTGTCCCGGTGGGGACCCTAAGTCTAAGTCAGCTGGGATAGACTCCAGCCCCCCGCGACCCTAGTGAGGATTAAGCGGTGTATAGATAATGGATGGATGTAATGAAAATCATGACATTGCTTTTAAATTGTGGTTCAATAGAAATGTTTTTTTTAAAAAACAAACAAACGAGAAAAACAAGCATGATGGGACCCGTAAACTAATATGTTGTTGAACAACCCTTTGAGGCGATCACTGCAAAGTGTTTTCTGTAACTCTCAGTCAGACTAACTAATCTTTTCAACCACAAGTCAAAATCAATGTCTTATTTCACTAAATTATAATTTTGCAAATTTTAACTTATTTTTACTTTTTCAGTTTCTAGTTCTTTGAGTAACTACTGGGAATTTTGACTTTTCTTTAATGAAAGAGTATGAATACATCTGAAGACGACTGTAAAAAGTGATATATATTAGCATAAGGTGCAGGACTTTTTCCTGCACAATCTGGACTATCTCATTATACACATCATATCATAAACAAGTAAAAGAATACTTAAAGAAATTTAACATTATTAGGTTTTACTCATTTTTTAGCACAAAAACTATATGCAGGTATGTTTGGTTTCTTCAAACTTGAAGCAAAAGGCCTCACATAATAAACCAAAGCATCAGCCGAGTGCTTTTCCAGCCGTTGAGAATTGCAGAGACCTTGGAGGTTTGAAACGATCACCACATAAAGTTGTTTGTGGCGGTGATCAGATCTGTTTTGAAAAAGCAAATAGTCTCACCGATAGACGTGAACATTCCGGCTCTGAAGGCAATGTTGTTGCTCTGAAAGCCAACCGGCCCTGAGAAAATATTACAATACAGTGTGATTAAATATGAAAAATACCAAAGTCCATTCAGCCAGTGCATTCATTTGTTGACCTTTACATCACTGAATTACACTTTGGTCAGTTCTTACATATTGTGCATAACAACCTGAGCTGAATCATTCAGCAGTGCAACTACTGATCAAATTAACAACATTCAGCTTCTTAAATGTGCTTTTTTGTGTCACAACAGAATTTGGGGGATTTTTTTGCACTGTTTGTTGGACTAAACAGGAAATTTGATGACATCAACTTGGCCTCTGATACGTTGTGTTGTTTTTTGTTGCTCTTTTTTACTGTTGTATAAAGTAAACAGTGAAAACACTCATTAATCATAGTAATTCCAAATGTCATTAAAGAATCATTAAACATGGCCTTGACCTGGATAAGCAGCCAGATGGATGAATGGATCAGCCAAGCAGAACAACAGCTTCATTTATGGTCCTTTTATGAAAGGTTCGGGGTTAAATATTCAACACTTTCGCAAAATAGGTTTGAGACTTTTAATACATTTGAAGGCCTTTTTGAGGAACCTGCAGTTATAGCTTTTTTAGGACTTTTCAGGTTTTTTTTCTTTCTAAATGATGCACAAAACAACGGATTTGCTCACTGTGGAAACATTTAAAAAGCCTTCAAATTCTGTCTCTTTTCTAATTTTCAAATGTTTGTTTCATTTTTGTTTTTGACCATTCTCTGAAATTCTTGTCGTGCTTCATGGAGTTCTCAGTAATTTATGTTCACCTGGAAAACACCAGTGACTCACTCAGATATTTATACATATTTCCTGCAGCCTAGTGTGACATGGATTGGTTTTACAAGGAAAATGTTTACTCAGAGGAGTACTCGGAGTGTAGTGTTTGTTCAAGATTTAAAAAAGCTTCACATTTCAGATCCAAGCCATCACCCAGTGTCTTATTCTCCTTAACTGTCCTGGGGTTTTTAGGGATGCAGTCACATCAGAAGCAGTTGCCTTGCAAAATCAAATGTGTGCTCATGTATGTGAAATACTCGCCAGCTTCTTAATTTTCTCAAGCTCAGTCAGTAGCCCCACTGTGTAACCTAATTTAATTTAATACAAAATCTTAAACAGGCTTTTGTGCATCCTAATCGCGGTGCTCTAAGACCTCACAGATCACTGAGAACTGCATTTGATTCTTGTTTTAGTGCTGTGTATTCTGAGAAGTCTGAGAAAAAGGTCCGTACATTCATGAACGCCAAAGTAGTTTCCAACTCCGTGTCCTGTGCCGTGACCGTAGTTGAGGCCCACCTCCCACAATGCCCGGCGACCCAGCATCTCCATGTTCACACCTGTTGGCAAACAAACCCACACAAAGAGCTTAATTTAAACATCCTGTTGAAGACGCATCGCTGCATCCACTCACAAATGCTGTGGAGGAAGAGGGCGCTCTAGTGGTGAAACAAGGAAGGATTTCAGGGGAAGATAAATTGTAAATCTCATTTTCAACATGCATGAATATTCTTGGGCTGCACGGTGGT